GTTTCTTCCTAGAACTACATCGATCTTGTCTGCATAATTTGAAATCGTGCAGATACACTAGATTGTCATCATATAGATCATGTAGCCATGTTTCTTGAAGTGATATGATCCCAGTATTTCGATATATAATGGAGGACACGAGTGATTGAAGACAGTTAATCTTGGCTGGCAGGGAGCGACAATTAGTACTCATGATTGCAGGAACGGTCATAAATTGGATAGGGGTGTTTTTTAAGGCTCTTTGCCGCCCGGCATGATGCTTCTTTTTGTCGTTTTTATGGCATTTCCGATCAGTAGGTTTTAAGGATATTAAATACTCACGAGAAAAAATAATCCGATTAGAGGAAATATTAGAATAAAATTTAGTTATTTTAAAATAAATTGGAAATGAGCAATTAGATGCAACATGATTTGTAATGAATAAGGTATTTGGTAGCCCAAGATTTAAGCAGGCCGCCAACAAAATCAACAAATCTGGACTCCAGACCATTTAAATCATAACCACTCAAATTCCATGAACGATCCCATGCTACCATTTGAAGACGCTGGCCAACATTCTGTACAAGGAGTATTCTTGATCTGAAATAAAGAAGCAACTGGTTTTCAAACAGTTTTCAATGTCTTACTCAACTTACGTGTACAGTCTGTCCTGCTGACACAAATGACGCCAATGGATAGTTCTAGAATCGACGTCGGCCCCACTACATGCAGTAAAACAATCTAACATGACCTTATCTAGTTTTCGTATCCACGATCAAATTTCTTTCCTATTATAAAACTACGATTACACTGCTGAAAAAATGGAATAAATACATCACTGATCTCAAAATAATACATCAATAAACTTTAAGTCAAGGATGCTGTTCACAACAAAGTTATATAGGAGAATTGACTTCAAGCTTTATTCTTCCCAGATATTTATATTACATTCATCTGATGTCTGGATTTTTTGTTAATGCGAAGACAATATTTCTATATCTCTTTATGTGTTACACAGACAGATTATTTAGCAGACTGTTCCAACTGACTCTAATGTCAGAAAGAACAAACAAACTGTAAATTCACCATACATCGAAATATGTGTAATTTATATAATAACTTATCCGTGCCTGTAAAATTGATATGTTCCTGCATAAACAGAAATAAATACATATTCATTAATTAATATTAACTGCAAGAGATGTTTTCATAGCATGTGCACAAACCTAACTCCTAAAACACACAAACGCTGCTGCAAACCTCTGGCAAACTGGTTGTGCAAAGACCTCTGTAGTACAACCAAATTTCTTATAACAGAAGCCATTGCCACTCTCAGTGGGGCTCTAAACTCATGGACTGCAAGGGTTTTCCACTGCAGGAGGAGACAGACTACTGCTCAGACTCCCATGACGTAACCAGTGTCATCGATAAAACAGCACATGTTCCCGATGCCTCTCTGTCAATGGGTGAGTGCTTTTCAGCACAGAAGAGCACCCACCATATTCCAGACTCACACGATGCCCCCGCGATACCGAATAAGCCCTCCAGTGACAGTGAAGAAAAGTCTGCCACGAAGAAGAGGCGTGCCAAATGTCGAAAACCTGTAACTCATGTCGCCCAGGGACTGCTAGACCAAGCCCCATCCACACCAGTGAATGGCAGGCAGATAAAACCTACTACGATTAGCGAGAAGGACGCCAATGGATGGCGTAGTGTAGTTGTCAATACGGTTGAAGGATGAACGATCAATTCAGGGTTGTTTATTCAAAACCACCGATACTGCAGTCATCGCTCCATCGCACGTTGTTCGTTGGAAGACGGAGAAATACTACCAGAAGTATGATTGTGATTAATTGTTATGATATTTATTCTTAGACTTTGTGTATAATAACCTTATGGTTGGTTCCATAGTGGTGCACGAATGACGGATTCTCGAGTCGCCATCTGTGTTCTGTTTTTTCGCGTTGGTTATTGCACATTGTTGCTGAAGGTCTTCTTAGGACAGCGTTGAGTCCAGTGTAGTTAGACCTGGACGTTTACGCCTTAGAGCATGAAAGCCACGCCCGCAGCCTGTTGAACAAGCGGACTAAGCTGGTTAATATGATAGACTCCGGAAACCCGGATGTAATTGTCATCACAGAGACATTGCTCACACCCGATGTAACTGACAACGAAGTTAACTTGGCAAACTTCGAAGTGCATAGGGTGGACCAACTAAACCGCAGAGGAGGTGGCGTAGTCATCTACCTCAAGAAATACTTGATCGTGCACAGCATCGAGGCACTCGCTCACGAAAGTGAGTCGTGCAAATTTCTACACTGCAGACTTAAATGCATAGGCCAAGACATTGACCTCATTACTATATACTGCAGTCTTGACTGCAGTGCAGATGACTTCCTAATAAAGAAGCTAGGCTCCTGGACTTCAAAATGTCGAAGTCTCGTAGTCGGCGACTTCAACGCCTCAACAGTTGACTGGACGAGCCTTACAACTCCTTCTTCAGTCAACTTCTTTGATCATAAACTGCTGGACTCTAGTACACCGCAAGCCCTAGTCCGAAATTTCATTAAGCCAACGCGCTATGACTTACAGCGCTCCTCCTCAACTCTGGACCTAGTGTTCGCCCACGGTGAGGATGTGGTTCTTATACAACATCATCCTCCTGTAGGAAGAAGTGATTATGCTGTGCTCACTTTCAAGTTCACAACAACAGCAGCAAGGGTCAAAACCCCAGCTGGACCAAATGTTTGGAAAGCTGATATAAATGCGATCATCTCAGCAGCCAACTCAGTAAACTGGTACATCAACCCAGAGTCTCGAGTAGAAGCCGCATGGAACCAATTTAAACAACTGTACGCCCAAGTAACTGAACCTTTTATCCCTTGGTCTGTGCCAAACATTGCCCCCTTTGGATAAACCAAGAGTTTCATAAGTTACTCAGGCGTAAACACAAATGTTGGAACTTGTTTACCACACTTGAGACTCCTGAGACCAGGAAATTGTGCAACACTGCTAGAAATAAAGCTGTTGCAGAAATCCGCCAATGAAGGATGAAGTTCGAAGCACATCTGGCTCAAAATGCAAAGACACAACCTAAGAAAATTTTCTAGTACACGGACTTCATGAATAAAACATCCAATGGTGTCCCAAACCTGACTATTGACAATGAAACAATCGAAGAAGGTCAAGAAGAAGGAGAAGCAATCGCAGATTACTTCCCCAAGTCTTCACACAGGAGTCATCAATCCCTATAGGATCAGCTCTGGCTGCATCAGAGGAATACGGGATAGATTCGGTTGACATCGACCAAGACATCGTGCTCAACTGCCTAATGAAACTAGATGCAGGGAAATTAATAGGTCCGGATAATCTTCATCCAAGGCTTCTCAAGGAGCTATCAGCTCACATAGTCGGCCCTTCGACCACGATCTTCAAGCTCTCTCTCCTAAATGGAGTGTTACCGCATGACTGGAAAGACGCCATAGCCACCTACATCCACAAAGGAGGATCAAGACAAACCCCCTCGAATTACAGGCCTATCAGTCTCACCAGCACTTTAATCAAGACACTGGAAAGAATCATCAAGAAAAGCATCATGGCATGTCTGGAAACCAACAAAATGTTATCCGGAGAAAAGCACGGCTTGCAAAGAAACCTCTCATGCCTGTCAAATCTCCTCACTACGAGAGAAAGCTAGGTCAAATCAAGGGACAACAGAAGACACGTTGAATTCGTCTTCATAGACTTCAGCAAAGCCTTTGATAAAGTGCTTCACATAAGACTACTCATGAAGTTGGAAAGGCTTGGTATCAAAGGCAGATTACTAAACTGGCTCAGGGAATTCCTCAAAGATATGAGGCAGAGGGTTAGGGTCAACTGGAAACTCTCCTCTTGGACGGCGGTGCGTAGCGAAGTGCCACGAGGAACGGTACTCGGAATTCTCATATTTATTTCGTTTATCAATGAAATATCTCTGCTCAGAGATTCACCTATAATCCTATACGCAGATGACTTAAAAATTCGCAGGGAGCTGAAAGGCAACAGTGGTACGTAAATGTCCCGAAAGGCCTTCAACAAATTGTCAGGAAGGTCCATCGAATGGATGCTCCCAATCAATGTAGCGAAATATGCAACCATGCACATCGGACACACAAGCATCAGCTACTACGAACTATAGGCTATAACACTCCCATCAGTTCAGACTCATTTGGACTTAGGTGTCGTAGTTAGTCACGATTTAAAAACTACAGCACACTGTCGCGCCATGGCTGCACGTAGTTTCAGGTGCTTATGGGCAATTCGCAGAGCCTTTACTAGAATCACCTGAGATAATATCTTTACCTCCTTACATACATCTCTAGTGAGGTGAAGACTGGAAAACTGTATCCAAGCAGCCAGTCCTCGTCTTAAAGGCGACTCACATATCCTAGAAAGGGCTCAAAGGAAGGCAACACGTATGATTCTCGGTATGACTGCTTCATCATACAAGGAAAGACTAGACAGTTTAATTCTCTTCTCCCTGTCATACCGTCGGCAGAGAGCAAATTTAATCACAATGCTTAAAATTTCAAATTATGACTACGGAATGGACCTATTCTCTCCTTTCCTTCCCACCAGGTCGGAACACCTTAGAGGACATAGCAGGAGAGTTCAAAAGCCAAGAAGAAACCACATTGATGTTGAGTACTGGTTCTCACACCGAGTCATAAACTCTTGGAACCGACCCCCAGAAGAAGTGGTGTCTGCAACCTCAAATGATTCATTCAAGAAGGGTTTGGACAATCACAGAAATTTACTAGAAAAGGATCAATATAGGCTCCAAGCCTTCTATCCTCAACCAACAAATCTGAATTTGGTTTAAACTGGCTCGTAAAAACGATATTGTATATTGCATACAATTAGGAGAACATGAAAATTTTATACACAAGATTTAGATTTAGGGTCTCTTTCATGAGGTGTCTCAGATGTCATTGCCATAATATTTTGAAATTCTTAATTTGTATTAGATATTCAAGCTTAACCTTGTACGACATAGATGCTGTGATTGAATCAACGGCCCTGACGCATTCTTCAAATTTCTGCGTGACTGGCGTATTTTGTCAGTTGCGTTTGTTCCTCGCTTCTCAACTGTTTATACTTGTCTTACCTCAGTTCACGTTCACCATCACAAAAAGAAGCTCAGTAAGCCAGCTTTAAGTACTACCGACTGGTATAAAATACCTAGTTCGGACAGAGTTCTGTGCTGCTGCAGAACTCCGCAACTCACTTCCAGCCTAGTGACTCCACCTCGATACGTGCATATTAATGTTTCGTGATTGAATGGAATTCATGTGGAATAAGTAAGTTGACGCCTGTTTTGAATGGAATTTTTCAGTTTTCAACTTATTCATACTCAGCTAGCTGTGACGATCATGATCATACCTGCAATGTCGTATGCGTCGTTAGAATAGAGTTATACGGTTCAACAACGGCCGTCGAGATATTTGGAGCCGAATATCCAGCGAACTCCAGTTCCGTCTTGTTCTCGAAATCCACCGACAGTCGCTCCATCAGTAAGGTGGAACCCGAACCAGTAGCACCTCCAAACGAATGAAATATTAGGAATCCTTGGAGACCCGTACGTCTCTCCGACAGCTTTCGTATCCTATTCTCGTCCACCAACTTCTTACCCACGGTGTAGTGACCACATACGTAATTGTTCGCCGCGTCCTCCTTACCACTGCTCTGAGTGTAACAACTGCCTCTACTTCCCATGGTGTAAGCCGTCGGTCAATGTCGGCTCAAGATCCACAAACACTGCACGTTGGCCATAGTGACCAGTCTCGCTGAAGAATGTCCTGAATGCGTCATTCCCACTGCCATTCGACCCACTCGAGATTCGTCCATCTGGTTCAATCCCGTGCTCAAGGTAGTACAACTCCCAACACGATTCGCCTATCTGCGCACCAGCTTGACCAACACGAAGACTGATACATTCACGTATAATGTTGCTGACAACCGCTTTAGACAAGCACAGTTCAGTCACGCCACTTCAATATCCACCTGGAAAATAATTGTATACTAAACTTATACAGCTACATGATTAGTGTTAGAAAATTGACAATGCAGTTAATTCACACTTATATTTAACATTTACTTTCAACTATACATATATATATATGTATAAGTTTAGTATACAATTATTTTCCAGGTGGATGCTCTAATTCGACTTGTGCTCGTCAAAGTCCGAGCAACACTCATTTCATAGAATACAGTTATGGTAATGCTGTTATTAAATCCTGAGCATTTAGAGTAACATTAGTTTTTCCGCTTGTGTGGGAACGTAACTTTAGTATGGCATCTGGCGAAGTTCTACTTGTGCATGGTGTGATAACTCACTGATTCAGAATCAGATTTATTGGTTGAGGATAGAAGGCTTGGAGCCTATATTGATCCTTTTCTAGTAAATTTCTGTGATTGTCCAAACCCTTCTTGAATGAATCATTTGAGGTTGCAGACACCACTTCTTCTGGGGGTCGGTTCCAAGAGTTTATGACTCGGTGTGAGAACCAGTACTCAACATCAATGTGGTTTCTTCTTGGCTTTTGAACTCTCCTGCTATGTCCTCTAAGGTGTTCCGACCTGGTGGGAAGGAAAAGAGAGAATAGGTCCATTCCGTAGTCATAATTTGAAATTTTAAGCATTGTGATTAAATTTGCTCTCTGCCGACGGTATGACAGGGAGAAGAGAATTAAACTGTCTAGTCTTTCCTTGTATGATGAAGCAGTCATACCGAGAATCATACGTGTTGCCTTCCTTTGAGCCCTTTCTAGGATATGTGAGTCGCCTTTAAGACGAGGACTGGCTGCTTGGATACAGTTTTCCAGTCTTCACCTCACTAGAGATGTATGTAAGGAGGTAAAGATATTATCTCAGGTGATTCTAGTAAAGGCTCTGCGAATTGCCCATAAGCACCTGAAACTACGTGCAGCCATGGCGCGACAGTGTGCTGTAGTTTTTAAATCGTGACTAACTACGACACCTAAGTCCAAATGAGTCTGAACTGATGGGAGTGTTATAGCCTATAGTTCGTAGTAGCTGATGCTTGTGTGTCCGATGTGCATGGTTGCATATTTCGCTACATTGATTGGGAGCATCCATTCTATGGACCACTAGCTTCGGTGTAGATGCCAGTGTTCATAAGAGAAGTTAGATGTTGGGAATAATTGAGCAAGGTAGTCGCCATTGGTTTCGGGAAGGTATGATTGTAGTACTACTACTGTTCCCTGTATCCGTTTGTGTGCTATCGTAAGTTCCAGGATCATCAGTTGTAAGGATTACAGATTGGTGGTGGTATAAATTGATTTCGACAAATGTGCTGAGTAGTTGTAGTGTGACAGGCTAAAAATTAATTCCAACAAATGTAGTGAAACACATGGCCAACAGTCTTGTTCTTCGTACTCAGAACAAGTAACAAATGTTCATAAACCAGGACTTAATAAATTGTCATCAAATTTCTATAGAACTCTTCGTACATAGACGGGATATATTTACACTTAGAGTGATACTAATAGATATAAAACTGTTAAGGAAATAGACCACATCAGTATTATTCTGTCTTCGTGCACTCTCTAATGAATAATATGTCATTCAGTTCAACAAAAAATTCAGTATCTAAAATCTCCATTTTGTCAACCACGAAACGTTTTCGCCATCAGTTCTATTGCTGTCACCTATGATAAGTACACTGTCTCTTTGTTTCACGTAAACGGAATAATAATAGTAATAGTAAGACAACAAGTGTAAAAAATAGGTAGAAAATGAATCAAGGACTTCATCTAGTGAGGGAACAGCTACATTTAACAATACCAAACACTATGCGTCTAATTGCTGTCAGAAAGGGAAGAATGAAGTAAATTGCCGCACGTCCACCATTGACTGTTTGTGATTCTTTGGCATATCCGATTCGAGCTATCTCTCGGACTCGTACCAGGGAGTTGTGATGTAGCATCAACCGATGCCAACCTACTACAAATGTCCTTCATGCAACGATGCCACGTCATAACGTTAGCTGACCACCTTTCCGATATATCCACCCAATCCCAGGGCTGGATAGCTACTAGTAGTCGTCAGTTCTTGAGTTTTGTGAACGCTTAATTTTCTGTTGATAAGCTGGAACCAGCTATTATTTAAAAACTAATACTTTGCCATCCAGAATGTGACCAATTTGTAAACTGCTCACGTATTTTTCCTCAGGGCAGAACGATTCAAATGGATGAGCCTTTTCTTCATTGGTGCACTTGGACTTTATGCCTCGCGTGCAATTATGCCTATCGCTTCGGTGGACATCGCTTCAGAAATGAAATGGACGCGTAGGGAAATGGTGAGTTATATGAATTAAAAAGTTTACTCCATTTGACATTTTGCATAACATTGGCAGAATAAATTTCCATGTATAATCAGGCCTCTTCAATTTCAGTGTTTTTCTAAATCTAGCCCCTACTGCAATATTCACATGGTTAACTGAATAAGTAGACTAGAATAGGGATAACATTCCCGCAGTGTCACAGTCTTGTGCTAGCATGGTTTTTTAAAACTTTTTTTTTGTAAATAGCTAGAATTCGGTTGTTTCTTCTGTGAAAGTGATTCACTGGTAAATTTAGTTTTTTATCTTACAACCGGTTGCCTATATTAATTTGAGTAAAGAAGGAATGAACGTATTTTAAGACAGGATGATGCGAGTTCGTTTTATTTCGTTGATTCTCTCTCTCCCTCCAAATGCCTACATCCTAAACAAATTCAAATATAATTCACGAAATGGTGTCTGAACATACTTTTTCTCACAGTGACTTCAAGTTATAGGTAGATAGTATAGGCAATATAGTTCCAAAGATGATGTAGGTAGACGAATTATTCAGTGTTAAAAGAGGAACACAAGGGTGGTAGAATTCAGATTTTGCTTGGAAACAAGGATGGGCTAGAGAAAAAAACACAAAACAATAGAGTGAATTATTGCATATAATGGTGAAGAGTTCATGAGGGCGTGTGTGAATAGTAAAATAAGAATTTAAGATAGAAAAAATAATTTAATAGTGAGTTGAACTCACTAAGTGAAAATCAAGAGCAAAATTAATTGGAATTTTATGCAACCGGACAAAACACAGACTCAGACGAACAAAACAATTATGGTTGCTAGGATAGTGAGTGATTAGTCACATTATCTTTCTGTATACAGAGGTTGGGTTGTAGTCTTTTGATGGTAGCAGTAACTTCTGCGAATCTAAGTGACTGGTTTTCTTTGTGTATTGATTATCTTGAAAGCCTGACTAATTTCCAGTGTATGTCCGGTGTGAATCTATGGTATTGTATCTTGTATTTTGCCTCTAGTTCATCCTTGTTGTGCAAGCAAAATGTGAACTCTACTGCTGCCCTTGTCTAATTGTGATAAGAATAGTTGCTCTTCTAACACAGAATAATTCGTCTACCTACATCATCTTTGGAACTATACTGCCTATACTATCTGCCTATAACTTGAAGTCACTGTGAGCAAAAGTATGTTCAGACACCATTTCGTAAATTATAATTGATTCTGTTTAGGATGTAGGCATTTGGAGAGAGAGAGAAAAAAAGAGAGAATCGACGAAATAAAATGAACTTGTATTATCCTGTCTGCAAATATGTTGGTTCTCTCTCCATTCAAATTTACCTTTTTATCAGTCAGAAATGTAGAATTTGACATAGCGTTATTCCTGTACGTGTGCTGTCTTTATAATGCAGACAATGTAGCAAGTGTTCATTGTAACGTTGTCTGTATGCTGCAACCGCGATGTGAATACTACATAAGTTCGGTGTCTACTTTCTCGGTGGCAGGCTAAATAAGTCAATCAATCGTCAAGACTTTCTAAAAGGCATATCTACTTACAGTCGACACCAGTGTACTTTGTTAGCAGAAGTAGCACTACTTAACGGTATATATCTATATATGCCTAGGTGAAGATATAGGGAGTGGGTCGCTGTTGTGGACGTAAGCAGTGTAGGTATGTGTATGTTGCCTGACGACTGTGACCAGTGTATATGTGACCATGAACCTGTCGTTTGAGTTAGCTAGGTAGCTGTGTGGGTAAATGTCTTCATACTTCGCCTTCAAGTCGATTACAATTTCATATTTCTTGATTTGGTGTGCACTTTCTTTTTCGGTTTATTCACACTCCACTAACTTCGATTATATTTCCATTTTGTTTTTCAAAACTGCAGTAGTTAAACATTAGGCGACAAAGTAGATTATGCACTCCTTAAAGAATGGTCCGTGAAATGTACAAAACTTATCGGGGGTGGGTGGGAACAGTGTAGAGTTCATAACAATCAGTATGCAGTCAAAATATTGCATAACAACAAGATGGGAATAATGATAAGGCAACACTTCAAACTGTTATATCGGAATGCTGTTAGAGTTTTGTAAGTTGTTGTCTATGCTGTGCGTCGGTCGCACAGCGGTTACGACTCTCGCCGACCATGCACATGGTCCGGAGTTCGATCCCTTTGCCGACGCACACCTGATATCAATGGTCGGCCTGCAAAATTCGGGCTACCGATATCACATGCTGAAAATTCCATACCTGTACTCAAAAATACGGTGTGGAATCAAGCTGTAATAAAAAAATTATTATTCCCTTGGGTTTCGAGTGGAACATAGGGCTTCAACAAAGCTGTCTTCTACTTAATGTACTTTCATGCTGTGATCCCCTCACGTAAAGGTGCCTACAGTTGAACGAGCGTACATAGGAAACAGGCAGCTATGAAGTTGATACGCCCCACCTCCCCTTCAAAGTAATGAGAAGGCAGAGTTTCTACTTACGAAATAGGCGTATCTAAGATTGACAATGAAACTCGTCCTGAAGCAACGTAGTTTTATAATATGCAGTCAGCTGTAGAAACAGTAAGTAGTAAAAGCTGCTGATAACCTATAAACAAAGGTTAGTAAGTGCCAGTGGATTTTTGCTGCTTCATACGAACTGGATAGGGTGATCACAATGGGCTCAGAATATGAAATTTGACCAGAAGTCTCCCGAACAACCGTGAAGAGTGTTGGGCGGCCCAAGCTAAACATCGGTTGCAGGTAATACCAAACAAATTTGCAGACTCGCTGGAGAACAGGGGTTGTAAAAGACAAACGATAAGCGAGATAACTTCTAAGAAACAAAGTACTTTATTCGCCTCTCAGAGAATGAAATACTGGAGTGCTGTGGTGAACTCTGAGAAGCACAGTTCATCTTGCCTACCACGACGTTAAATTTGCCCAATATCTACCTGTGTAGCATGTAGACACTTGTCTCCCAACTGTAATATGGGCTGCGAAGACTGTCTTTAGCCTGAAACGAGACGAAGCAGGTGGACTTGGAAAAAAAACAAAGATCAGACGAAGAGTTAGCTGTGAAAACTATTCACAGGTGGATAACCGGTGAAATACCGGAAGCAAAACTAAGCTACTAGGGATGAAAATAAAATCAAGAAAACCATTCTTGAAATGGAGAAGGGAAGATTTTATTTTGCATTCCAATATTTTGATAAGAGTAAATATATTTTAAACTATTCTCCCATCCTGATATATGTATATTGTATATATATAGTCTTTTCTTTTCTCTAGGGTTTCATGATGGGTGTCTTCTTTTGGGGTTATGCTGTCACCCAGTATCTCGGTGGTTATTTAAGCGATATGTTTGGCGGAGAGGTTGTGATTGCAATCAGCTCACTTGGATGGTCGTTACTAACCATTTGTTTTGTATGGCTGCCAAGTATCAACTTTGGCATTTATAATGTATATGGATTTTTCATCGTCACAAGATTTTTCTTAGGAGTATTTCAAGGTAAGTTATGCGCGCTTATTTCCGCTATCGTTATTTATTGACCTTTATTTATTTAGTAAGGTGGGTATAAAAGCACATGTTTTTAAACTGAGATCTTATTCTTTAATTTAATTTGGACTTTCCCATTGATTGATGATTGGACCTAAGTGCTCGGCCTCACTCAGGTTGACAACATGTTGACTGGTCCTTGTGCCTGATGTGCTTCGACGATGGATGTCCGATTATTTAATTGGAAGTAAATTGGTGGATAGTGACGGACTAGCACTGTGTGAAATCCACCGGGATGCTCATTTCACCCTCCTCTTTGGGAATATTAGTCAGCTCGCTGGATGTACCTGCATCCCTCACTGACTGAGTGATAGTAGTCAAGGTGACATTTAAACCAGCCAACCGACCAACTCTCTCAGAGATAAACTTCGTCGGCTTTATAACCGAATAGATGCAGTTAAGAAAAATCACAAACAATTTACCAAATGCTTACTACGTAATGACTGTTAGTGAGGTCAACTACATAGATCAAACTAGTAGATCGGAGTCAATTGGATTATTGACTAGGGTTAGAAAGATCAAGTCGCTACATGGAGTATGGTGACTCGAACTACTGCACATCGGTGCAAAGTCCTATATTGAAGTCAGTCAGAAAGATCAAGCCCTGCTAAGTTAAATAACTTGAAAAAAAAACACGTCGGTCATCGCATTGCATTCACTTGCATATAATCACACAATAGAGTGGAACAGGGTGAAAGTACTAAACAGTAGTACAGTTAGGTGGAAAAAGAAAGAGGTTAATCACCGAAACTTTGTTTATCGATTCACGACCGCACACTTGCAATGGAAATGCCGCAACGGCTATACGGGAGATATGGATAGTGGCAACGATCAGCAAGGGGCGAAGTAGGGCGAGAGAGAAAGTACGTATCAGATAGATTGTGAAGTAGTGTGACTGAACTAGTATGATCATGATGCTTTGTATGAATTGTGAGGTCCAAAATTCTAATCTTTAGTGGAGGCTGGTGATAGTAGTAAAAAGAGTTACTAGTGATATTACTTACAACTGTGTGGTTATTGAGCCAACATTTGGGACTTTTGTGTGAAGGAGAAGTGAAATTCAGCCATTTGAGTGATAAAATGAGGCTGCCTGCACTCTTCTTTGTTTGAATAAATAAAGAACAACAATGGTTTCTGCAGAATAATATGGTGCCATCAGTGTTTATTTCGTTGGTTTCTCATCAGCTGCTTATGGTCTAAATAAATTATTAATAAGTTTATGTAGAGAAACAATATTAAAATATGCCTATCCTGCAGCTAGGTTGGTTTCCGTTTATCGGATAACATTCTCTTTGGTGAGAGAGGGGAATAAATGTATGAACTCTTCTGTGTATTGGAAGCTTATCAAGATGGTTTGGCGATTTTATATCATAAGCATAAAGCGCACGTATTTAATAGAGTCCTAGTTGTCGTCCATGATTGGGGATTTTCTCCCAATACTTCCTGCCTTGAAGAGAATGGCTGTCGTATGCGTATATTGAATTTTAGCAACAAGTTGCACGTAGTATTTATACTTGTCTTACCGCACCAAAAACGTCATTTTAGATGACGATAAGATTAAAATTACTTTTATAATTGTAGTGTATCTAAAACAATGTCCTGAAAAGCTCTAATCTTAGTCCTGTATTGCTGGATAAAAGGGATGTGTGGATGATAAATAGTGTGTCGTTTCCTTTAGAGGAGGATTAGCAAGCCAGATATGCTACCTTCGTGCTCACGGATGGGAGAGGAGTAGAAAAATTCGGCTGCAACATTTATAGATTTTTGGGGAACTTACTAGAGCCCACAAAAGAAGAAATTTCACCACCTCCAAACACTATGTACTATTACTGGCCCCCTTTTGGGGGTGTAGTCAAACCAAAACATGGCATCAGTCAATGAAATCCACAATAGTTAGTTTAAGCCATATAGGAAGGTGTAGACTTTCTGGTTGGGGTCTTCGGGACAGTAAGCACCATTGGCTGGAGACAATTGGTGCTATGGCTCAAATCGTTCTCAATAGCTGGCTGGCGAAGATGCATCCACTGCTTGTGACTTATAATACCCATTAAAACTATTTTGTTCTTCGATATTACTATTCTTTTTGGATCATGTGTCTATTTACTGTCTCTATTTTGTATTTATTTTTACTTTCTCTTGCTTTGTGTGCTAAGTGGTGTAGTGACTCGAACTGCTGCACATCGATGCAAAGTTCTATGTTGGAACCAGCCAATCAGTCATTTTTGGGGGTACTTAAGAAGCGCACTGGCGCTTACGTTCTGTTAGCAACTGACATGTGTTCACCACTGAGTAGTCACTGGTGTCACCATAGCCTTCTTCATTCTATTTCTTTCCACAGACTGCATTGCATTCACCGGATCCTAGTATTTTTCAACTCTTCATCACTTTTCCTAACCCTGTGGGCACTGTTAACAAGTAAAATAAGAGGAAGGGGAGTTTTATTCTCCTTGGTTTTACACTACCCCAAACGTTTTGTTGGAGCGAAATCTCAAACGGACGTACTTTTGTGCAATTTTCGGTCGTAGGATCGAAGCAAAGTTGTGATACAAGTCGATTTTTCTTCCTTGTGCGGAGCACTACACCAGGCAAAGAATCGAATACACTGAGTAGTGGTTACCGGCTTATTTGTCATCCAATCTCATACTGATTGAAAAGTAGACAATAATAATAGTAATAATAATCAATTTATTCCAAACTACAGTAATAACTATACGGAGTGGAATTTCAGTGCTCATTTTTAAACATGCTGCTACTTTTTATAAATATTTAGATGCATAAGATGTATAAAAAAACAATAATAATAATAATACCACGAAAAATTGAAGGTTGATGGTAACATGATGAATTATAAACAGATGATAATAATAATAACAATAATAATAATAATCGTTACGTATACCTACGTTACAGTTCAGTTATTGATTGAAAAGGTTGATAAGTTCGTTTCTGACATCTGAATCTCTCTTAACACCAAACCTGTGCTAAATATTGTATGATAGAATTTTTATATTGACTAGTTGTACAAGCATAAATTCCAAAGAAGTTTCTTCTGGCTTCACCTGCCTCCCCTTCAGAGAAATATAAGGAAAGAGTTGTGAATAAGTAGAGAGGATGTTCAGTGTCAGGCAAGATAACTTTAGCCAACTGCTTGCAAGGAATGAAATGCCTGTACACAAGAACAACATTAGTTAGTTGAGTCAAAGGGTACACACACACCACTAACCTTGCCTGCTTACAGCTTTCGGGCTTCTATGTAATGTGATATAGCCTTTTTTAAGAATTCCAGGGAAGAATAGGTGGGGCGAACTATAAGGAAGATGAATGGACAGAATATATAAATTAATAAATTGTAAGAGAAGAGGTGAGGTTGAGTTATGCCAGCAGATAGTCTCAACTTTTCCTAAAAATCAACTGGATGCGAGACGACCGACAGAGATGCAAAGAGAAACTGATGCCTGTGATGAGAGGTAGTCGAAAGTTGTGTGAGTAGTGTCTTGATATGATTATGAGTAGCAGTAATATAAATTGTGCTCGAAATGTGATCATCAAGAAATACTACTGCTGTGTAACACACTCTGTGAGACGCTATCAAAATTAAATTTTTTTCCTCCATAATGGAGCTATACTCGACCACAGTGCTCAAGTTGTTCTGCTTGCCTTATTCTGTCTCTCTGTCTCTTTTGTTTACAAATTTTGTTTTTGTTCAGTGATGCGAAATTTCGGTGCACTTTTATCGTTGTTTTTGTTATTGTTGTTGTTTCTCTTATATGTGTCTCAACATTGTTTCTACGTGTACAGTATGTTACTATATAATATTTAATAGGCTAAATGTGAAAACTGTTTAATTAATGGCTTACGGCATTTTTTTTCCAACATCTAGTTTTTATTAAGCAGTTTTGCTAAAGAGTTTAACAATATATCTGGCGTTACTATTAGTGATGAATAACCGTCATCTATTGATGTGTTTGTCTGCTGAGGATGATGTTTAGTGCTTCCTGCATACAAGGAAAATTGACCTTTTATTTAGCTTCATTTGTATTGTATTCATTATATGATACAACAGCTGCATTTCTTGTATTTAGGTTTGCATTTGCCAACAACTTACGCCATTTCTGGTGGTTAAGTGTGCATGATATCCAGCTGTGTTTACTGCGTAGCCGCAGTTGTCTCCGTCCTCCTTTATGGCCAGCTGTGAGTGACACATGAGAGACATTGGCGAAAGTGTAAGACGTGATGAAAAGGCCGGCCAACTAGCTATCTTATATCATAGGTGGTGTCTGCATTCTATCTACATTTTGTTTTAGCGTAGTTGGTAGGTGTAATAGGGTGAGTAATACTGAGGTGGAGTGAGGCATCCGTCGAGTGATGTGCTAGTTAAGCTAGAAGGAAATTGACGAGGTTGTGAAGCATTTGCATGGGTTGAGTGAGGTGATAAGGACTTGTGTTTACGCATGCCAGCCTAGCTATCGACATCGATCGCCTACCTCGACTGACAGGAGATGTTAGCTTAGCTTACATAGGATGGATGAGGTTGGTAATGAGCTAGCTAGCCAGCACATGGCGGTATTCAGACGAAGACATGGCTTCATCAGTCAGTGAAATCTGTACCAACAGTTAGTTTAAGCCAGCCAACCAACCAACCAATCACTAGGGAGATGTCAGGCAGACAGACTGACTGCTCGAGGTTCTCGGAATTGATGGTAAGAACTAATGAAGGCTGGAGACAATTGGTAGTGATATGCATGGCTCAAAATCGCCGTTCTCAGTGATGGTGAAGATTCATTCAGTCTTTGTCATTTGCCATATCCCCTATAAAACTATATTGTTCTGCCTCAATGTTACTGTTAATTTTCCCTCATCCACACTTGTATTCATTATATCTCTCTCTATTGAATCTCTCTTCTCTTGCTTTGTGTACTACTACATGGAGGCAGAGTGATAGCTCGGAGTGGTGCATATCTGTGCTGTGAAAAGTTCTATGTTGAAACCGGTCACTCAGTCAGTTGGTAGTTTGTCTGTGTTGAGGACATTTGAAGCATTTCAAAGTCTAGTTTATTCTTTAATTATGTAAGTTACTCATGCAAGTTTATTAATTTTCTCTATGTTTTCTGTGTTTTTGTTGTTTTGATCATATTTACAGGATTTTATTATCCAAGTTTAGCAAGTTTAATGGCTAATCGTGTACAAGTAGCCGATAGAAATTTCACTTTTGCTGTTATCAGTGCTGGTGCACATTTAGGGTAAGTATTTTTTCACATCTACCCTCTGTTTGCGTAATATTGGTATTCATCTGCATTTAATGTTAACCCTTCAAAGAAAGTTAACGCGAAACTTCAAACTCCAGATATAGAGATTGATATTAAATGGTTGGCCTTCATGCTTGTTGACATTCGCCAGTGTGGCGTATTTCCCATCTAGAAGTACCAACTAGCACGAAACGTAGTTCTTGGCAGGGCTTCTTACCGACTATTTCCAATCATCTAATATCAACAATTCAGAAGGCACCGAGATGGCGAGCCACCTGGCATGGTGGCCACATTGCAAGCTTGACTGATAGTATTCAGTCTGCACCAACACCAAGGACTGGACACATTACACTAGTTACTAACTGGTGTCAAATCAATATATTGAGTACAGTCTTCCAGGACGTCGATAGCGAGCTTGAATAGCTCAATAGGAACGTCTTTGACTGCAGCATAGACCACTGGCTGATGTCTGACAGAAAGTTATCAAGCTTAGGATGGTCAGATTGTAACGAAGCTGGCGGTGAGGCAGTCAGATCACCAGCGTATCCGACAAAGTTGAATTCTACGGAAAGAGGTAAGCCATGCAGGAATAAAGGAGAAACAGAGAACAGCTGCACCCCGAGGGACACCAGCTTCTCTATTTTCTACTTATAACTCGTGTTTTTAAATACCAATTAGGTGCCTCTAAACTTTAAGCTATATTTGTTTAAGTTACTTGGCTTTCTGATTTTTATTGACCCAGTTACTTACTTTATGGTTCTTCTTTCTGTCTTGAGTAATCATACTCGTTGCATTGATTTTTATATTTGCTTCAAGATATTTGCATTACAAACACTATGAAGTATGTGCTTGCGTGCATTTCTGTTCATGTGTGTTAATAACCTAACACCAAAAGTTATTTAAAGCCATTAGATTTCTACTACCCAATCCGAACTGATAGACACAAGAAGACTGATTCTAGCGAGCTCTGAATATGATGGGGGAGGGAAAGCTGCTGAAAAGAAAACTGACAAAAAGTCTTCACAACAACCGCGAATATTAGTGGGCGACAAAAGCGGAAGAGATGGAAAAGACATCAGCAGAAGGTAGCACCAGACTTATGCTTATCAGGAGTCTAGGTGGCAAAAGACAAATGATAAGTGAGACAATCTCCGAGAAAAATAGCTCCCTAATTAGTTCTCAGGATAGATGACTGGAATATTGGAGAAAGAAACATTTTGAGGTGCAATTTAGCTGGCGTACAGCCACTTTAAACTTACCGAGTATCCAACATCTCCCGGATGAATGGGATATAAATACCGGTTGGTCCTCCGCACCTAACTGAAGTTACAAAAGCTGTCTGTAGTGTGAAACGAAGCATAGCAGTGGGATCTGATGGAATGGCTGCAGAGGTGTATACGGACGATGTGGACAGCTTACTTTTTGGGTTAATTAGGGCACTGGGCAACGTCTGGGAATCAGAGGTAGCCCTGTGTTACTGTAATATATGCAGTAAATACATGTAATACAGTAATACAACCACATCGATTGACTGAGTGACTGTTTTCAACATGGAACTTTGCACAGCACAGATATGCAGCACTCCGAGCTATCACTCTGCCTCCATGTAGTAGTACACAAAGCAAGAGAAGAGAGATTCAATAGAGAGATAAATAATGGACACAAGTGTGGATGAGGGAAAAGCAAGAGTATTATTGAGGCAAAACAATATAGTTTTATAGGGGATATGGCGTGTGATTTATCTTGTGTTTGGATGACTCTAACTGACTGGCTTTTCATCATCTTTTTCTTACGCATTGGTCATGATTCAACCGTCAACCAATCAGAATATTTTATTTTTCCCTGACGTAGCCTAATCACCTATCAATCAGAACAACCTATTACCCACTGCCCTAGGCAGATTTTAATGTGATTAGAAATACATAAGTATGACATGCTCTCTTTCCTAACTATAACTATGTATCCTAACAGTCTTTGTCTTTTGATATTTCGAAGTGTTTCAGGGAAACGGAAGTTACTAGGGGTGAATAGGTGTATCTAGCATATCAGTTGAGTTGTTCATTACTTCAGTATTATTATACGCACTCATAAGTCCACTCGGTCATATCAACTGTCGACACAATCATATTAATTGGTGACAGGTGACAGTTCATTTCAACTGACGACTCTTAGGTCATAATAGTTATAGTGTTGTGTTCTGAAGAGGCAACTTAGTCAAGTTAGACCTGCCTAAAACCCGTCATAACAGTGGTCAGTGTGTGTATCTGATAATACAAAATTGATCATGAATAAAGGCAGTGATATCAAACTGTAAATGAAAATTGACCTTTTACCCACCCCATCCACTTATAGGTAAATCCAGGGTATATTCAACATGTCGCTGTCGTTTCCAAGCTCCTTTTAACTAAATCATACTCATAATTGAAGTAAAAGTAAAGAATAGACACCACAGTCGAATGATTTTGAACCAGATCCCTGCTCAGATGGATGCTTTTCTCCATAATCTTCGTCACAAGTTTCACCCTGATTCAAGGTTAACTGTATGGTACGATTAAGGTACGCTTATGATTAAGGTTAGAGTACAAGTTAAAAAGAAAATTAGGGTTAGAGGGAAACTTCCAACGAAGATGATGAAATGCATCCATTTGTAATCCTGAGCGGTCTGATTGGTTATTTCAACGTCATTCTCTACTGTCGCTATAACTCGCTCGTCATTGGACATGAAAATTCACTACAATTCACAGTAATATCGGAGGAGTTAATGTCAAGGTTCCCATTTTTAAAGTGACTTTTATCCCAGTTTGCCATATAAATGACTTAATTTAGCCTATACCACAAAATTGATTCAAGTTATTTCACTTCAGCGTATGGTAGAAACCATTTATATGTATGCCTGCTGTCTATTATCCATTCAAAAAGGAAGCGGTTTGACTTCAGTAAATTACCGTGATATACAGATGTTTTGCGACCAGGGCAAATTCTATTTTAGCAGAATTGTCTATGCAAAAGACGGAATTACAAAGCACTCTCATTCTTATTGTGTCCATAAAATAAAATGCTTGGAATGTGATGCGATATACATCGGAAAAACATCACGAGAAACCAAGGTAATCAGAAGAAACGGCCGCTGTAAAGAAGCTTCTATCTGTCTCCAATAAATCCATTCATGAAATAGAAAAATCAGCAAGAGGTCGTCTACACTTAATAGAAACAGGCCACAAAATCAATTTTGACAATATTGAAATAATACCGAAAAAATTTCAGATATCGCATATCGTCAGAAGCCATTCATATCAAATGCAATCCAAATTGTCTGAATAGGGGACTGATGGACTAGATGAGAATTCTACCTGGCTGCAGCTTAACACCCACCCTTGCTCCGACCCACTATGAAGTGACGAAGTCAACACATATGTGATAAGCAATTTCATTATGTAAACACATGCTGTTGGTTCCCATAATTTTATACGTTTATCAGTCTCAACAATCTATAATCATGGCTTTGTTATTTTTACCAATTAGCCAACTTGACGACAACGTAAACAAAATTAACAAGTCATGCTGATGAACGATGATTAAGTTGTTGTATATATAGACTGAGATTTTGTAGATTCTTTTGGCTTAATATTACTAATTTGATAAAGCTATTGACAGCATTTTCAATAGCAAAACGTCTCTAAAAACAGCAACAACAACATCGTCTTGTCTTTTTCATTCATCCCTTGAGAAATAGAAAAAGAACATTTATAATATAATGAATATCACATACCCACCCAATGCCCTAATTTCCTCAAACTGGTAAAAGTGAACTTGGTTTGGACATGTATAGGTGAAAGATACAGTTGTGAATAACACGATCAGGTGATCAATTCCGAAACCCACTTTTCTAGGTTTATCTCACTCTGTCGAAAGTTGACTGAGATACCGTCATCATGAGAACGGCCTACTCAACAACACGACAGGTTGTTTCGTCTATGAAATATTTAATAATTTACAGTAAGTCACAGAATAGCTTCTTGAAGAGAGGAACTGTCAAGGAATCTTTCGTTTACAAGAGAAGTCTCTTCTCACGAGACTTTGAAGTACCTGTGTTGCAATCATTATCAAGGAGAAAGTGGTCACACGCAACTGAGCACTAAGAATATCTTCAAAGTTAATCGTTTATAAGTGATATTTCTCTTCGGGTTAAATACTCAAAAAACACACAGGTTTATACACTAAAATGTGAATGTAACACCTCCGTCTGAGTAAATAGAATCAAAATTTAGATTATGGGATTTGGATTTAGCTATTGCCAGTTGACAGGCTTCGCCGCGGGCGAACATCATTTAGATTAATAAAAAACAGGGAGCACACTTGACTGCTGTTAGCGCTGTCCTATTTTAAGGAATTATTTAGAACGACCCCACCAGGGAGGGGTTGAAAACAGGACCTTCAGGTTGTGACGAGAACAAACTCGTTGGTTATTCAGCCAGGTGAGCGAAAGATCAATGACTCGTATATTCCGATTTCGTCAAGTCGTGATACAGTACTACTCTCTCCAATACCAAGATAGGATGAAACAGCCGGTCATCCAATGCTCCGTTGTGGTCTTCAATGATTTCCGAAAACGACGTTGGTTTGTGACGAAATTTAACAACGAGAACAACCAAAATTTTTAACTGTGAACACGATAGTCACATAAAGGCAGCGTTTCTGTGCTCACACTCAATTTAATGTTATTTCTTCTGATCTTTCTTGGTCGTCCGATATCATGTTAGTTGTCAGGAAGATGTTTCGTTAAACGTTCTACGAAACGAAGTTAAGACCATCTAGTATCACTGAGTCAGTCTTTGCCTCCTACGTTTGTTAATTCCTGCATTCTATTTATCCTTTTTTGTTTTGCCCTCCCCCCGCACTAAATCTTTCCCGGACTATTTCAGAAATTTTTCGTTTGTTACATTATGAATGGGAATAAAAATTGTCGGTCGGGCGAGTGCGGTGTCACTTAACCAACTGGTGTTAATACTAGTGTAGATAGACACACTGACTCCTGGAAGAGATGAGCAAATATTATCTTGTCAAATGCTGAGCATCCTCTCTATGCACAACTCTCTCCTTGCATCTCATCAGATAGGTGAAGTAGAAGCAACTATGGAAGACTATATGCCCTGATGACTAAGTACAAAAATTCTACAATACCTTATATGGCAGGTACACATTTTATGTGATGGAAAAAGTGTAAACCAGAGAATTACCAATTTTCTGAGGAAGTCTAAGGAGAGGGCGCTACTTTTATTTTCCATTATTATATTGTTGTTAATGTTTTCACCTAATTTGATTTTGTATTCATATTCATATTGAACAATATTATCAATGTTGTGAATGCCCTGTTTTAATTATTACCCCTGCCATGAGAAAGTTATATGCAATGCTGTACTACATGGTGAATATTCCATATTTGTACTAAAAAAATACTTTATGGAATAAAGCTTATATTAATAAAAAAAACTGGTGATCATGTGACATTATGGCATGTTCTACTGATGAGATTTCTTAGTACTATGCAAAGAGACGTTCATCGGTACACAAAAATATCGAATCGAGGAGAGATACATTTGACGTCAAAGAGAGTCAGGAACTGAACCAACCAGTGTATTGCGGCGAAACATGTAAGACACGTAAACAAGATAAACAAACACAATACAAGAGGCAGAAATAGTCCACAACACGGAAGATCTGTGCAAACAACGATTTTCACATCTAAATGTGTGCACAAAATTTCGCTGTATAGTGATATCTAATTCCAAACAAGCATTCCATTACCAAGTCTCTTGCCTTCTACCTTTCCAACATGAGTTTATTTCTTTATATATTTGTCTTTTGAATGTGTTTGCTGATAATCAAAGCAAGAATTTTTTTCTTTTTCTTCCACAGTACCCTTTTATGTGGATCATTAGGTTCCTACTTGGTGACTACAGAAGGTTGGAGAACTCCATTCTGTTTGATCGGATTACTGTTTCTTGCATGGTCTTTTATTGTGTATTGTATTGCTAGCCGTAGTGCATGGAAGTTACGCAGATTGCATTTAATTCTTCCAAGAATTTTAGCAAATACCTATATAGCTAGTAAAGATGTATTGTTAACAAGTCATGGACGACAGGATTTAAATAATGAAGAGAAGATCATGGTTAGTTAAAATAAATTAAAAAAAATATTTTTACCTACTTCTATTAACAACTGTTTTATACGCTTATTCAAGCGTTGGTTTCTAGCGGGGATTTGGCTTGATTAGTTGCAGGATTTTCATCATCATGAGATGACATCAGTTAGAGGAGGGCACCATTGGAAAACCACTACTAGGGAGTACCGCCAGACAGCTGTTTGGGACTCTTTAGCAGTACGCATCCATCGTCAGGACTCGAGCCCGGGACGTACCGGTTATAAGGCAAGCCTGTTTTCAATGGTTCTCTGACTCACATCAATCCGTGGTGGTAGAACTGGAAACGAATCGAATCCCTACCAGCAAATCTTGAAAATTAATGTGAGCCTCGCTAATGACAACTGGCTGCTACAGGAAGAAGTTTCCTATAGAGGGTTCTAGTGAGAAGTCGTGTCTAGTGTAAGGTCCACCCTATCGGGAGTGAGGACACTGTAAGGCGTCCTGGGTTCGACCCCCTCTTTTGGGTGTGGACTGCCGACGAGTTCCAAGCCAGATCAACGGAATCAAGTGTTATTGTCCATGCCGGCTATCAGTGGTAGGTTCTCTAACTTATATAAATCCGTGATTGAACTTCAAAAGAAAACTAAAGCTATTTCTTAGCTCAATTTGTTGTGCTTTTTTAAATGTTTAAAGGCGTATTTTTTGTTCAATTGTAAATATGCTTTGTGTGCTAGCATACAAATGAACAAAGCGGATTTCTTATATTTACATCTTAACTGATGAGAATATTCATTCACATCAATAGTTAACTTCATTAATATGCAATTATGTGAAGAGAGGAACTTATTTATAGTGTTCGTATACACATAAAATGGATTTTATGTAAACATGACCAAATAATAAAAATCGATAAATCTTATCACCGAAACTCAGCAGTGCAAATAGCCGAGGAAAGCATTGGTGGGTGGTTCAGTTGCAGGATACTTAGCCAACCACGCCTCACGTGGTCTGGGGTTCCCATCCCTGACTGCCAACTCATTTTTTAAACCTCGCCTAGTCGGTAGTAAGGCTGTGGTAGAGAGGGGGAAGTTAATATTGAAAAAAAACTGATAGCTACTGAAACTTCCAAGTACTAATTTGAAGCACTATGATATTCCACTCGGAACGCGCGAACGATTAAAACAAGAAAAGGATAATACAGGACGGTTACTTCCACACTGATATATCTCAAGTGTTGGTTTGCACTAGAGATTTCATCTTCATGAGCTGGCATCGGTAAGAGAACCATTGGAAAAACTACTTGGAAGTACTGCCAAAAAGCTGTTCCCGTTACCCTAGTGCTTGGGATTCGACAGCAGCATCCACTGGGTTTCGAACCAATAACCTGGTTGCAAGGCGAGCGAATGAGCTCTTAGACCTTTAAGCCACTGGGACCTAGTCCAGTTACCAGTCAGCCCATGAGTTCCAACTCCAGTCAGTTCACGATGTTGTTGTTGATTTGTTATATTTATCAATACAAACAGACTCTGTCGAACACAATTATAAAAAGTTCTTAATGTCATTAGTAGTGTGAAATGCTAGTGATATATACACACAAATAGAAAATACTGCTTCTCTCACAATAACAATTAGTATTTTTCATCATTAGATTCTGCTCTAGTTCTCAACATCACATCCCTATTTCAATCTACTCTCTGCAGTCCTTCTAAGCTGGGTACACGATCGTTGCTAAGCTCTCATCTCCTCCTCGCACGATCTCCTCTATGTTACCCTCGAAGCGACGCCCCACTCATCGTTGTTTCCCATTCGGGTTACACATAAGCATTGGCGATATCATTCGACGCTCTACTGAGCGTATGCCTCCATTTTCTCCCACCTATTCGTTGAGAAATAGGTTCTTGCTTAGTTTTTCCCTATAGTTCCTGCTTACCACTTATTCTAGCCGATTAGTTGATCTTCAATAGGAAGGAAGTAAGGGCGGCAGTTGTTAGTGAAAGTCTGCAGTAGTCTGTTGGAGATCATTGCAGTCTTACTATCTCCTCTTTAATACATACCACTTTGTACTAGCCACTCACCCGATACATTTTTTAACCCCTTGAACTGACTTGTCAGTTTTCCTACCCCACAGTCTATAAATCTATTATGACTAATGATCATCATTGTCTCCCATTTTACAATATTTTGTAGTCGACTTCAACCTACACGTTTGTCACACAAATACGGCTATTTATTTTGACACCCCATAACTAATCTGTTGTTATTCTACGTTAGAAATGTATCCGCCGCACAACTGGCCGTTATTGTAATGACAACAAATATTATCACGAAAAATACCCATTTATTCATAAGTAAAAACACAGTTTTTTTGTTCAGCGAAGAAATTTCTTTCCAACGACTTCATTTTCAAGCTGTACAGTCGTATTTATATTACAGAAAAGGTTATTAAGTGGGACTAAATAATTGCCCAGTCAGTATACATATATGTGATAAGAATATCGATAATTAAAATGTTATAAGAGGTAGAGTTGAAGTGGATAAATTACAAAATTATTAAAGATTATTTTATAAGTAAACTGAACACTATCCAGTCTGGTTAATGAAAGGCGAACGTATAAAGCGAAGTCGTCTATTTGTGATCATCTGTTAGAGTCAGGTCATTTAGCCCCACGTGATTCATCTTTCAAAGTTATCTGCATGGCAAAATCGAATCGATCCAAAAGTTTACGTTTTCTTGACTTATGCATAGCCGAAGCTTTAGCTATACATGAACAGAAACCTAAATTATGTGTTCAAAAACGTTTTGTCAAACCCCTTTCTTTACCTTGGTCATAGTAATGTTCTTTCTAGTTTTTACTTTATTTTATTTTACCACTTGAATTCTTTCCACTTCACTTCACACCTTCATTCTTATCGTAATCGTACTCCTAATTTTTTAAAATTTTTAGACAACACTTGACATGTTTAAAACATTTTTGATTTCAACTCACTTATAAAACAATCTTTAATAGTTTTGTAATTTATCCACTTCAACTCTACCCCTTATAGCATTTTAAATATCGATATTCTTATCACATATATGTATATTGACTGAGCAATTCAAGTGTTGGTTTGTAGGGATTTGATTGGTTACAGGATTTTCATCATGAGCTGACATTAGTTAGAGAACCATTGGAAAACCTGGGAGTACTGGACAGCAGTTTCGTCCTAGTTTGGGACTCTTCAGCAGTACGCACCCACCGAGATTCGAACCCAGGACCTTCTGGTTCTGGTGAGAAGTCGTGACCAGTAGGGTGCAGCAGGTCGGGTGTGAGGACAAATACTCGCCGAAGACATTGGCTAGGGGTCGCGCTATGTCGTGAATTGGCGGAAGTTAGAATTCATTGGCCATTGGATCGGGTCCCAGTGGTTTAATGGTATACGAGCTCGCCTTGTAACCAGAAGGTCCTGGGTTCGAATCCCGGTGGGTGCGTACTGCTGAAGAGTCCCAAACTAGGACGAAACAGTTGTCCAGTACTCCCAGGTTTTCCAATGGTTCTCTAACTAATGTGAGCTCATGATGAAAATCCTGTGACTGAGCAATTATTTAGTGCCACTTAATAACCTTTTCTGTAATATAAATACGACTGTATAGCTTGAAAATGAAGTCGCTGAACAAAATAACTGTGTTTTTACTTATGAACAAATATTGTATTTAATAATTGTAAGAACCTGAAGAGAAATTGTTGAAAATAATATTCTTCGTTCAGATTGACTTTTAATCTCTCTAACTGATGTTCCTTCGAAGCGAATTCTACGTTAAAATGATTCCAGACCCCAGACCGATAGCTACTACCTTGACTTGGTGGTCGGGCTTGCACATCGCGACGACGCAACAAGTTACACTGGCTGGAACTGCAGGTCCTACCATGCCAGGAAGGTTGTTAGGATAGCGATTAGACTAAGAGCAGTTACCAGCATGGTGTGAGATTTTTTGCACCATGCTGGGGGTCTGTGGGCGAAGTCTCACTGCTGGAGAACAGTGATGTAAGAGCAGCAAGGTTTTTCCCTCAGATGATCAGCATGCCAGGTATGTTGTCTCTCCACTCTGGAGGGAGGGGGTTAGAAAAATCGACCCCAACAATTGTACTTCTCGACCTACCTTACGGTGGTCCGTAACCTGCTGTAAGTTTACCAATACGGAGCAAAACCAAGAAACTAGTTCATACAGGCCGTGTTTGACCGGCCGGCCTCAAACAGTTGTCCCCTGGGCTCTGCGATCACGCAACACTAACCCTCTTTCTGTTTCAAGTACCCGAAAATTCGACCAACTTCCACGGTGTGGGCAGCCGAGAAGTAACAACCGCTCACACTCACAAGCCTCCCCGAGCATCATTCTCCTTTACAGATAGACCAGATCCCCCACAAAACGCAAATCTAATTAGGTTATCTTATTACTCAGAACAAGTGGTGACAGTTCCTGAAATTCTGAAACTTTTTCACAATGCTCTTTTTTACTTCCTTTTCTTCACAGCCATCAGAATCAAAATTTGTGTATATAAAGTCAGAAATTTTTCAGGAAAACTTGTCATCTAAAACACATACAACACCTTTAAATTGGTCCATTCTATTAAGAAATAAGCCGTTTTGGTAAGTTATCATATTTTTAATTGGTTATTATTATTGTGATGTTTATGATTATTCTTTATTACTCTTCCCTTGGGTTTCGAGTGGAAAATAGAGCTTCAGCAGCACATATCCATCATATCCTATTCACTACGGCCGTCTTTAGCTGGGTCTACGACTGCTCACAGTCTCTCATCTCCTCCTCATCATACTGTCTCCTACACGTCACCCTCGGGCACCCCAGCTTTACCTTGAATGTTTCTTTGAACTAGAAGATGGTCTCGGCCCACATCTGCTGCCATTCTTGACTTTGTGCCCAGCAGGCTGTGTCTCCACTGTCTTAAACGGCATTGGGATTGTATACGCTACCTTCAATCAGCAAATCATTTCAGGCACAGAAGTCTGTGAAGAGTTCTCCATTATCATTCACTTTGCGGAGCGAGAGCCTCTTGACTCATGATGACTTCTTTTCCTTTATCGTATGCTCCAATTTTAGCATTCATATCGTCCATAAGGATTTTGATGTCGCCATTCGAGATGTTGTCCACTAATGTTTGCAGTTATCTGTAGAAATCTTCCTTCTTTTGTTCTGAGTTGTTTGTAGGTACGTAGCATTGGATATTTGTAACCTTCCTTCTCTCCTTTTGAACTGAATCTTGCTGTCATTATCCTGGAGGAGATTAGTTCCCACTGCATGTGTACGCATGCCCACATAGCCATCGCCATCTATCTCGTGACAGAAGATGTTAGCTTAGCTGACATAGTAGGGATGGATGAATGAGGTTGGAAATGAGCTAGCTAGATAGCTAGCACGTGGCTTCAATAGTCACTCAAATCCATACCAACAGTTAGTTTAAACCAGCCAGTCAGCCAACCAAACCACGTAGGGAGGTGTCTAATTGACTGGTTGACTGGTTGGAGTCCTCAGGATTGATGGTAAGGAGCAATGAAATCTGGATATATGGCTGGTGATTGGCTGGAAATCGCCATTCTCAATGATGGCGAAGATGCATTCACTCTTCGTGTAATCTCCCATATACATTGAATCTTCATGTTTTTATTACAAGTTACTACCTTTTCTCAATATGCACATTTCTGTTTATTATCGTCCTTCTGGATCTCTTTATTTGTCCACCGTTTTGTTCTACATCGAGTGTATGTAGTAACTTAAAGTACTTGAAGTGTCAAGTTCTATGTTGAAACTGAGTCAGTTAGACAATCAGTAGCATTCCGAGCGGGGAGATGTTTGTAACAGTGTGTGGCATCTGTAACTAACTAACTAACTAACGAGCAATTAAAACAATTAGTCCCTTTGGTAAATTTGAATAAGGCATTTAGAAGACAAATTTCTCGAGATGATATCATTTCGTAGTTTCTTTACAACCGCTTTACAACTAACATGGTTAACAATAATAAAATAAAGACCATGACAATTACTCAGTTAAATAAAAAAACAAAATGACCAATCATATTTAGATAGGTCATGTAGTTCATGGTAGGCGAAGATTGAAGTCTATTGTTTTCTGTACACATAGTTTAGGCTGTATGTGATTAATCCAAAGTGCTTCCATCGCCTTCAATAACCTTGAATTAGAGTTATGTGGAACAATTGTAAAACAGTCATTAATATTGATTTTGTGACCTGACATTAATAAGTGTTTTGCAATAGATGATGCTGGATTTCTATTCAGATTAATCGCATTGGGATTTTCTATATGATTTAGTAGTCATTTTGGAACATGTTCTTTTCGACGACATTGGAACATTCTGTTGGTTCTACCTATATAGGTGTCACCGCAGCTGCAGGTGAACTTGTAGATACAGTTTGAAGTAGAGTCCATAGAATTTTGTCCTTTAATCGTAGGTACAGGGATCGAAAGTGTTCGGCAAGTGAGAAAAAGAGATGCGGCGTAGAATGTGCGTTTGGTGGCTGACCGAAGTCTTTGAGCTGTCAACTGCATAATCTGCTCACCCTTGAATAGTAGGTTAATAAAGATAGCTTTCTTTGGTACAGAAGCTGTCTTTTTGAGATGTCGTCTTTCTTTACTGTGATGAGTGATAAAGTTTTCCGGATAACCATTAGCTGATAAAACTGAATGTATATGTCGAAACTCATCCATCACTGTGTCACTCGTGCATAATTTTATTTGTTCATGAAGTGCGACGTTGAAATATTTCAAGTGATCATTGTATTCAATATGGTGTTAAAATTATAAAAAAAATAAATTTTTTCCCTTTTTCCCTATTTCTAACAGGGTTATGCTTTTGGCTAATTTTGTTCACAATAATACATTTTATATCATTCTCAACTGGTGTCCCTCCTACTTTCATGATAACTATCCGGATGCACGGGTAAGAAATTTTACTAAGATGGATGTTGGTATTTTCGCACACTTCTTCTCGTAGCATAGTGTTTTGCCTTGTGATTGTTTATATTCTTGTAGATTTTGTCTAATTCGGACATTTATGGTGTGTTTGGTATAATTCCAATACTACTTATTTTTATTGGACACTAGTAGCTAGTGTGGTGTGTCCGGTCCTTTGTTTGGTGCAGACTGAATTCTGTCAGTCAGGTTTGCAATGTGGCCACCATTCTAGGTACCTCGCCATCACGACGTACTTTGAATTCTTGATGTTAGATGGTTGGAGGCAATCGGCAGAAAGCCTCGGGCCTAGGTTTCGTGCTAGTTTGCACTCGTTAGCAAGGCGTATCTGCAACCCTGAAGGAACTCCTATTTCTTCTGACTGATTGATAGAATTCAGTCTGCATCAAACAAAAGAACTAGACACATAACACTAGTTACTAGTGTTCAATCAAAGTCCTACAGGAGGTCAATCGCGAGCCCGAATAGCTCAGTGGTAGTAACGTCTGTAACTGTATCACTGGGTGACGTGGGTTTGAACCTCAGAAGGGACATTAATTCCTGCAAGGTTGCAGATGTGCCTTGCTGACCGGTGAGTGCCAACTAGCACGAAACCTAGGTCGAGCAAGGCTTCCTACCGAATGCTTCCAACCATCTAACACTATTTATTTATTCTGAACAGAGTTTATATAATCTGCAGAATATTCAGTGGAGTTTATTGAATGATTTTTCCTCTTCGTCCAGGGTCATCAAATTACAGGGACTAAGTGTCTAACAGTAGATCGTTTGACACAGTTCTACATATCTCACCTGAAACGCAAACGAACCTATCATGATGATATCTCTTCAGCTCTCTCCTTCGAGAAGCATACAACGACATTTTGTTGAATGTCAATTATATAAAAGGTTCGGAAGTACACCGAGGACAACACCATTGGGGATCGGTTATCCCATGTATTGGGATAATCTGCCATCCATCGAGCTGGATGATGCTTTTTCTCATGTTTAGTAGAGGGCGACATGCGAACGAGCAGGTTCTAAATGTTTTGAATATTCTCCAGTCGAGTAAGCACAATACTGTAAGAGGTCATAATGCGTTATATTGATGGTGGTTTGTTTGGATAGCTCACGTTTTAAGCCGACTGCCGATGATTATTAGTTGTAGTGTTTGCCGCAAACTATCTGTCAGTCTTCAGAAATCCTAATTGCCTCCTCCTACTATACTTTTAGTGTATTCCTCTTATGGGTAAAATAATAATAGTAGCAATGATTTGCATTATTGCAAAACAGTACTTATCATAGAGTGTGGTGGAATTCTCAGCATTTTGTACAATATTGTAATTTCTTATTTACTCGACAAGAGGAAAAAGAAAAACAGAAAATCTGATACAACAGGATTGATATTGACAGTTTACTGTTTTCGGGGCTTGCAGTGACAGAAAATTCAAAAATGTACAAAAGTGTAAAATTATAATAATATTAATTACTATTCACCTTAATAAAATAGTGTCACCATAGATAACAGTTAGGGGAGAAAAAAGAGCCGATTATTTTGCTAATAAGAACACAATAAGAGTTGTAGGTTTTTTGCTTAACTTAAAGTTATTTTTATGACAACGGATGATGAAAGGCCAAATATGGTATCATCGGGTTTCTGTATTCAGTTGTACGAATGAGCCCTACCCTGCGCAATATGATATCGTCGTTCTCGAGCAACCCAGGAAAGACTAAAGGCGGGTCGGCGGTATAGAACAATAAGTAGGACTCCAGACTTCTCAGACTGTAAAAGTAACGGTCGAGTGGTGACTGATTACATGATTGTCTTTACTTCTTAATCTAGTTGGTTAGAGGGGACATTTTCTCAGAATAGATAGAACTATTCCAAGGTATTTTATGCTTGACTTAGTTTCTATTTCAGTGCCCTCTATGCTACAAGCATCATGTAAACGAACCAGCTCATGTAGATCACGTTTATGCCTCCTAAAGAGGAAGTTAATAATAGTCTGACATTTGGAGGGATTTAAGGTAAGACTACATCACTGGCAGGTTGATGTCCGACAAAATGACTATTCAATTCGTCAAAGTCAGGCTGGACGAAACAGACAACGAGATAGTCTGATTATCAGCGTCTTTGACGAAGTTGATTTCATTCGAAAGAAATAAGTCTTATAAGAAGAAAGAAAAAAGAGGAGAAAGGAGAGGGAACAACAGCACCGGCTTCAGTCAGTAAGCAGGGCAGAGGAAGATTCGCTTTTATATACAGTATACTAATGCATTATGTTCGAAAAATACGAATGCGTTCAGTTAACAGCCGGCAAGGAAAGACTTATAACTGCTGCTTTCTGAAAACATAAATGGTATTTCCGGCGTTTGATATAGATTGCTTCAGGAAGAGAAGTGAACTATGAAGTACGAAGTATCATCACATTTTTGTGTAGTCGGTATTGGTTCCTCAGAAAAGAAGGAAGACACAATCACGCACTGCTGCAACTTCGAAGCGTGAGGCCTTTTGTTCTCCTTCGAAACGTGAGGAATGTAAAAAAGAGTTATTGAGTGAACAACGTATTGTCGGTTCATTTTTACCATAGATCTAACTCATCATTCAAATATTCACTGTCCTTGTGAATCTTACAAACGACCCACTAATTCAGGTGTAATAACTCAACTATTGTTTGAATAAAGAAAAAGGGTGGGTGTGAATAGCAAAGCAAGATTATTAGATAGACAAAATAATTTAGTAGTGAGTTGAATTCAGCAAGTGAAAATCAAAGGTGGAATTTTATGCAACCGTACAAAACACACAAAACAGTTATGGTTGCTAGGATAGTTAGTGATTAGTCACATTGTCTTTCTGTATACAGAGGTTGGGTCGAAGTCTTTTGATAGTAGCAGTGACTTCTGTGAATCTAAGTGACTGTGGTTTTCTTTGTGTACTGATTATTCTGAAAGCCTGACTAATTTCCACTTTAAGTCCCGTATCAGTTAGGTATTCTCTGGCAATTGCACTTGAGAATACTTTGCTATCTTTCAAACAGAGAGACATTTAGGGATATGGTCGAGAGATTTAGTAGGCGCTCTCTTCCTGTCAATCATTCCTGTATACTTGCTGCCCCAATTGCAGGTGAATTGTTAAATGCAGTTGGACTTGAAATGCAGAGCAGGAGACTTATCTACAGTTGACTGAGTTAACGAGCAAACTGTGTTGTAAAGTGGAATGAATCTGTCTGCCGGAAATGTTCTTTCCAATGCACGTTCTATTCCGTTTTCAGTTCTTGTAGATAGATACTTCTTTTCAACTATTTCGGGTTTCGGTCTAGGTGTTTTTTGGTAATAATTTTTGGTATTTTGGTAATAACTTTCTTGGGTATATAGTTTCGATAAAGTCCTTTTCTGATGACTGCGAGTTCCTCTTCGATTTTATCTTCTAAACACTATATCCTAGCTTTGCTGAAGAGTGTTTTCATCATCACCAGACTTCATTTTTAGTCGAATTTGATCTCTACTACCCTTGTGTTACTCTTTTAACACTGAATAATTCGTCTACTTACATCATCTTTGGAATTATGTCGTCTATACTTTCTGTCTATAACTCGAAGTCACTGTGAGAAAAAGTATGTTCAGACACCATTTCGTAAATTATAATTGATTTTGTTTAGGATATAGGCATTTGGAGAGCGAGAGAGAGAGAGAAAAAGAGAGAATCGACGAAATAAAATGAACTTGTATTATCCTGTCTGCAAATATGTTGGTTCTGTCTTTATTCGAACTAATAAAGTGAATCGGCTGTGTGAAACCACAGAACAAAAACTTTCTACTTTGATGAGTTTACGTACTGATATTGTATCTTTTTTCCTCATCAGCAAAGCAATATACTTATTTATAGATTACTGTTTGTTTCCATTTTTCAATCACCAATATATACCGATTTATTAGATTATTTATTTATTTCATGTTCCTAATAACGGAATGGGAAGGGCGAAAGAGGAAGAGAGAGAGAGAGAATATGTGGGTGAGTAAGTGAGTGAGTGGGAAAAACGTTACATGAGTGGCAAGGTATTGTGTTAGATTATAGGTCGTGCTGTTGGTATTTTACGTGAATATAAAAATGAATATTTTTTTTTTCCAAAATATCCCATGAGAAATGTCGTGTTTATGCTCTCTCTCTCTCTCTCTCCTGGATCAAGAATAATAACAAGAATAATAATAGTTCGCGTCAGGCATTCAACACACGAAATATTACACTTCGTTTTTATTTCTTAACACGCCTTGTGTATGCCTGGAATCTACTAGAGAATTATTCAAATAATGTGTGTAGAATGCAATTATTATTATTTCTCATTGATTAATTCTTCAGTAATAAGACTGGTAAAGAGGGAAAGTTGGGCATGAGGCTAGCAACCCCATCCTGTAAAAATAAACACTGATACAGAAACTTCAAGCTTCTAGCTTGAAGCCCTATGTTCCACTGGGGAACGTGAAGGAATAAAAAAATTCTTCAGAACAGTATATCAGATGAACAGGCTTCTATCCTGGAAAAAATTACCGCCAATGAAACCTATAAAATATGGTCAAGAGTAATTGATTGCAAATGAGGAGAGGCAAATAAAACAGCTAACTGGTCATTTCAGAGGACTTTTGAATCGGCTATCACCTGCAACTCACCTAGGAATACCACGAACAGCACGCATAGGAGAGCCAGTGGACACCAATCCTCCAACAAATTTTCAATGCAATCAAACTACTGTTGGAAGCCTGCCGGGGAGGCATTAGGATAAAAGAGAATTCCTCCTGGAGCACTGAAAATGGATGCTGAGACTGCAGAGGATATGCTCACACCGTCATTGCGAGAAGTTTGGTAGAAAAGTGGCTATTGATTTAAAAAAGAAAGACCACCTTGTAAAACTGCCAAAAAGGGCCATTTAGGCTTCACTCTTCAAGAACTGGCGTGGAATAATCCTATTATCCACACCAAGTAAATGCCGTGTTATCCTTAAGGTAATTAAAGACAGACTGGTTGCAGAAATCCGTCAGCCGAAACAAGCTAGATTCACGTAAGGCGAATCATGTGTTGATCAAACTGAAACTCAACTAATCTTCAACTAACAAAGCACAGAATGACAGTTTAATCTTACTCTGCCTCAATTTTATCGACTTGGAAAAGGCAGTCAACAGACAGCGTTGACCGCGGAGTAATCTCGGAACTGCTGCAACACTACGGCGTGAAGTGCGAGGGCTGCGTCAGAAGAAGCACTTAACCGGTGCGATTTTATACTGTGTATTGGACAGAAACTGTAGTTGTTTTGATACTGTCTTGTGCATGTGGACTTTGTGCAGACAAATGGTTTTATTGATCCATGTTGTCGGTGGCTGTTTATGAGTACTTATGTAGAAATGGCTAGATATCATTATTTTATTTCACGTGATATGCTGTGACCTAGACCTGTACACAATTGTATTGATCTGTGTTGTAGGAATCGATGTCAATTTTTGCCATCTCTATAAATGTGTATGAAAACTACTGGTGTGTGTGTGTGTGATCAGAATGTGCAAATGTGTTGCTCAAATACACACTACATGTTTCAGATCAATTTTCTACGCCTTCTAATAGTTTTGTCGAAATTCATTACATGAAGCTGATTTCTTTAAACATGCATACAATAATTGTATTTTGGGTATTATTTAAATCCGTCTGAACTTTGGATTTTGGTTTTTGTATCTTCAGAGTTGGGTTTTTAACATGGTCCCGTGGTTTATTATCTTCCCGTCCACCTTGGCTGCTGGTGCATTAGCGGATCACTGGATAAAGGCTGGTAATTATTAATGATGAAGTTTTTATGTCTTAATGTTTGTTTTTTCTGCATACATTTATTCCCCTCTATGATTTTAAACAAAGCAAACACAAATGTTTGTGCAGAATTGTAATACGAGGCCATCGTTTGTTCAGATGCTCTTCCCTTGTTAACTTTAATTGTGTATACAAATTTACGTGTATCTACAGAAGCGGTTACATTAAGAGAACACAAAGAAGGGAATACCGTAGATTTTCTGAACATACAGCAAAAAGTTTACGTTTCAAGGGAACAAATGCCTTGAGCAGTGCCACTGACAAACATTTTGTTGACACGAACCATGATGTGGATAGCGTAAAATCCTTCAAGATTATTAGTAAACAGTATATTTCAACTCTCCTCAAATTTGCCGAAGCAATCACTGTTGAATGTTTGAAACCTGACTTATCTGTTCAGCAAGATCCACGTATAAGCCTTTCTTTGCCTTGGTAACTCAATGTCTCACCTCTTCGTCTCAATTGATGATATAATCTGGTAAAGTTAAACTCACGTAGCCATGTAAGGGCTTATGGGGAATCGCCATCTGAATTGATAACAACCAGTGGTGTCCGTCAGGGATGTCCACTTTCCCCTTTTCTGTTTAACTTCATCATAGATATGCTAATGGAAGTATCCTTAACCGAACGTAACGACTTAGGAATCGACTTGTTACCAGGGAATAGTCTTATGGACTTAGAATACGCAGACGACATAGTCCTGTTAGGGGATGACAAAATGCAGAGTCTTCTGAACACCTTGAGCAGCAATCTTCGTATGTTTGGCATGCGATTCGCCCCTGTGAAATGTAAGATGCTGCTACAGGACTGGACTACGTCAACTCCAAGCTTAGTGATAGGGAGTGAAGTGATAGAACATGTTGACCACTTCACCTATTTGGGAAGTTGTATCAGCACCAACGGATTGATTGGTGACGAAATCTCAGCACGGATCTAAAAAGCTCGGGCTGCTTTCTCTAACTTACACCGTCTCTGGCGTAGGCGTGACATCCGACTGTCAACCAAGGGACGTGTATACTGCTCAGCAGTTCGCTCCGTCCTTCTCTATGGCGGTGAGACGTGGCCATTGAGAGCGGAAGACATGATTGCCGATTGCTTCCAACATGAAAAGGTTGTCTGGTTTTGACCACAGATGTTTACGATCTCTTTCTCGCGTTAGGTGGTATAATAAGGTACGTAATGTTGACGTTAGGCGTAGAGTGTTGGGCAAAGAGGGAAAATCAATCGAAGAGGCTATAAAGTTACATAGATTGAGATGGCTGGGTCACGTGCTACTCATGCCTAACCATCGCCTCCCCCGACGGGCATTACTAGCTGATATAGGTGCAGGTTGGAAAAGAGTAAATGGTGGCCAAACAAAAACATGGCCAAATCAATCCATGAAATCCTTGACAGTTAAACTGAGTCAGGTAGGGAGATGCAGACTTCCGGGTTGGGGCCCTCGGGACTCTAAGAATCAATGGCTGGAGACAATGGGTGACATGGCTCAAAATCGTTGTCAATGGCGCAGATGTATTCAGTCTCTGTAATCTTTCATATTCCTTTCCACCACTACTCATTCTGTTTCACTCTTGTACTTGTCAAAATTCTATTGATTCTCTTCACTCATTTTCTTGTCTACCTTTGTGTGCTATTTGGAACGTGGCAACTCAAACTGCTGCACTTCGGTGCCAAGTTCTATGTTGAATCCAGCCAGCCAGCAAAGTTAAACTTTAAGCAGCACTAACTACCAACCAGCGAGTGATCTTGAACGCACCAATCACGTGAGGGCGTCATTTTGTGTATGGAATACTTATATTTATTAAAAAAATACATGAAAATTCTACAAAAGTATTATATAGGCTCCCTTTCTATCACATGTGGTAAAAATATTTCCCGGTTTAGCATAGGAGCATCAATGTAAAAGGTACACCATATCCTATACATATGTTCATTAAAATAACTATAAATGACGTCGCTTGGCGATCCATTAATGGCTCTGATCCTGTTTTTAACCTTCCCTAAAAGCCTTCGATAGAATTGGTGTGTGTGTCCGTGTAATGTAATGGTATCCACAAAATCATTAGAATGGTTGACTCTATGGTGAGTATGTTCAAGGGATGACACGGAGTTATTACCCTTCCACTCATCTGTGCATTATAGACCCTTATTACACCAGTCGAGTAATAATAGGCACTGAAGTACTTGACTTTCTATCTACTATCCTCTCAACAAATCCTTTCTATAGAGAGGTATCTTATAAACCAGTCACCCAGCCATTATCTGCTCAGTATCAACCACGGTTGTATTTTTTCTTTTACAAGGTAGTTTCATCTGCATGTACAACGACACCTCCCAGTGAGGAAGTAAGCCTCTTCATTTTCCAGGATGCGATATCCCTTCAGTGCTGGTATCATTGAACTGTTGATACGAGACTATTTTCAGCTTCAGCAACTACACCTCTCAAAGGTTATTTTAAAACGCAGTAATTACAAATGTGGGTTGAGGACAGATGGGATCTGGCAAAATATGTTCCTACGAAATCTTAGAATCATCAGCTCACTTCGCCTGGCAGTAGCTCGCCTCAGACTAATTGCACTGCGGTGCATATGTCCATCAACAGACCTGTTAAGGGTTTTTATGGTCATCACACCTCTACATGAAAGTATCATTTCTTGCCTAATCAACCCTCATCAAATTGTAAACGCAACTGAGTCAGAACAGGCATCTGACTCGAATCAAACGGAATAAATACTTCAACTCACTTGGTTAAAACTCATTGGACCATTCAAGGTTAATGGTGCGGTCGCACTACATTGGTAGTTAGTGGTGCTTAAAGTTTAACTTAGCCCTTAATCGTTTACTTCTATCCCTTTCCGCACACCTTGTTTTGCCTTAGGGTAATTCAGTTCTTTCGGTTCCATGATTCTAGTTTTACTTGCCACATTATTACTCATCTTCAACTTCCCTTCCTCTGTCTTCATTATGCGACTCAGTTTCAAATGTATTCGACATCTAATTTTGCATCTTCGTATTTTGTTTGAACCTTGATCTCCTCCTTTATAAGTTATAGATAATTGGAACTTCTGAACATTGTTTATTAACTTGTATATCTGTTTTAAAACAAAAATCATGTTTATCCTTGCAAATATGACAAAATCCTGTGTACCTTCACATAATCAACTTTTAGTTTGTAAGCAGCTGAAGAGAATCCGACGAAGAAATAAATGATGGTCTTATACTATTCTGCACACACATTTGATTTTGCTTCGTTTAAAATGTTTATTTTTATTGATTTTGTTTCCTGTTTGCGCCTTTATTTCATTCACTTTGGTGTCAAAAGCAGGGGGAACGCGGTTCTGTTTCCTGAACACTAACACTGCCATCTATTTAGTCCGTAGTGACCTTGTAACGACCAAATTTATTCGGTTATATGGTCTGAACGCAAGAAACTGATCCCTGTCTCTCTCTGTATCTCTAGGTTCTACTATGTAGCCGACAAAACTTCGCCGAGACACACGCTATTACAACATCTTCCAAAGGCAAGGAAAAGACGATTATTCTACAATATTTTAGCGGGCCCATTCAACAATAATAATAATAATAACATCAAAACTTAAATTTGCCTCAACAGTGCCGTGAGTCAGCTAGCTATACAGGCAGGCAAGCAATGTAGGTTAACAAAAGTTCAACTATAGAAGTTACGTACCTTATAATCGAGGAAAATATTCCCAGCCACGTGGGGTTGAAAGCTGTGTCCTCAAGAATCACACACACAGCCTAGAGCCAGAATGACCTTCGTTCACCCAAACAAACTCATATCGGTGAACAATACATTGTCAGTGTACATATAAGCACAACGAGAAGTATTATCATTATAGATTAAACAAGGGCGAAGGCAATGATAAAGGTCATGCAAATGTCAAATGAATGATAAACAGTCTAGAGGAAATACGTGTAATAATTACGAAATTAGTTGAAATGTCTGAATAGCTCTAAATATTATGTAAATAGATCGTCCAGGAGGGATTTTCCAAACAATTTGTCCATCACAGGCCTTTTTTATCCCTTTGCTCTCTGAGTAGTAGATAGCGCTTCGAGTGCGAGTTGTTGAAGTTCCATTAGTAGTGGTAATTGTTTTTGTTTTGCACACCTAACCTCCCCTTTTTACTAGGCTTATCCCAACAGAGGGAGGTTTAAGACTGCGTCTGCCCTGGACACAGTCCCGGACCACCTGTGTAGTTTGGGAATATCCCACCAGTACCCTAACCATCGGTGCTGACTGGATTCTGTCAACTAAGTTTGTAATATGGCCACCATGCTACGTGGCCCGACATCAGGTGCACTTTGGATTGTGAGTATTAGATGATTAAGGACTGTTGGTAGGATGCTCTTGTAGCATTGAGAACACAATATTTAGCAAAGAGACTCTTTTCAACGAATTTATTATCAAGCTGTACCATTGTATACATGTATATGGTTTTTAAGAAATTATATCCGGTAAGTGAATTGGATCAAAGGTGTGAATACATGCAATCATAATAATATGAAATGCAATTAAAATATTTGTCCTTATAATCACAGTTAAATGTCAAGTAGCGAAACAATTAGTGTCGTATCCATCTTGTGAATTATTCTACATATGACGCTAACTGTTTTGCTACTTGACATTTAACTGTGGTTATAAGGACAAATATTTTAATTACATTTCATACTATTATTACTGTTATTATTTCATGTATTCACATCTTTGATCCAATTCCCTCACCAGATGTAATTTCTTAAAAAACCATATATATATATATATATATATATATATATATATATATACATATGATTGTACAGCTTGATAATAAATTCGTTGAAAAGAGTCTCTTCTTAACACATAATAATAAGTTAGAGAACCATTGGAAAATCATTTGGGAATGCTGCCAGATGGCTGTTTCTGTCATCCTATTGCTTGGGTTCGAACTCTCACAACCTTCCGGTTACAAAGCGAGTGAGCTCGTAGACCACCCGGCCCAATATCCAACCCTATGAATTTCAACTCCCGAGTTCGCCCTGTAACCGGAGGATCCTGGTTTCGAACTATGGCAGTGGGCGCGTCCTACTGAAGAGCCCCAAATCACTAGGATAACGGGAACAGCTGTTTTGCCGTACCCTAGGCTGTTTGCCAATGGCGTTCTCTAACCGATGTCAGCTCATAGTGATGAAATCACGTGACCAATCATAGTCCTGATGCAAACACTTGTATAGTGATAAGTGCTTTATGTGATAGAAATTATTTTTTTAGCGTTTCTTTTCTTTTCTATTTACAGGTTTTTCTGTGACTTTAGTGAGAAAGATAATCACCGTACGTTTCTAAATTTTACTTATGAGCTTATAATAATATTCGTGTTTTTGTGAATTTCACGATTTACGATCACAGTACTTAAGAAATCAAAGTAGAACTGCGTGCTAGTTGGATGACGAATGTCAATTTTCTGCCTAGTCAAGTAGTAGAAAGCTTTTCTCTATAAAGGACAAAGCCAGAATCGGAAAGTCAAAGAATACCTTCAACAGTTTGCAAGTATTTTGAAAGTCTTCTGCACTCACTCAGCCAGCATGAAGGACAAGATTCGGATTTTCTACACAAATGTTTAGTCAGTTCTTCTATATGTGTGTCATAAACTCAGTGTGTGCGTCACGAAAAGAATTTCTGACAAACAACAGCAGACTTTAATCGAAGGCTGTCGCCTTTGCTGGCTCCATAGTGAAAGAAAGGTTAATCAAGTAGAAACTATGGGAAACTATTATTATGAGCAATAATTTGCGTTCGAAACGTCGTCAGTAAATATTACTGTTATAACACTGTGTGATTTTATCAAAACAAAATTTTATCTATAATGGAGTTAACCAAGAACTTGTTGGTCAACAAATATGTGAGCGAAAATGGAGATGGATGATTGGGCATGCGCTGAGTAGACTGTTGAATAACATCGCGCCTAATGCAGGTCATCGCTTGAGTGTAATCCGAATGGGAAACGACAGTGGGTGAGGCATCTCTTTGAGGGTGACTTGGAGGCGATCGTGTGATGGCGAGAGAGACTACGGGCGATTGTGGAGCCAAACAGCCAAAGAGGACAACAGAGAATAGGAGAAAATGGAGATGTGGTGTTGAAGTCGTACGTTCCACTTAGGTCCCAATGGAATAACAACAACAAGTGTTTAATTATTGGATGAAAACATTTGCTTTACCAGCGAAGTTGTCTTCGTGTATTCGAAACCAAAACTAATTACAGCAATAATAATAGCTTTATTCTGGAAAGTACATTTGTGAGACACACTACAGAATTGTCAACGTATTTCATAGCGAGATAAATACTCCTTGGGTGCAGAACCTTCAAATAATATAATACATCTTCTGAAGTGGTATATCATTACATTCGAAGCATGTTCCCTAATGCTAGTTGACAATGTTCTCCCTTTATATCCTTTGAAAAATTCCTAGTGATGGTTTAAGCTGTGCGCGGGTATTGTTAGAGACTCATAATTAATAATAATAATAGCTTTAGCCTGGAACAATGTTTATATAATCTACAGAACTTTCAGAGGAGTTTATTTCATAATTTTTCTTCTTCGTCCACTATCTTTGGATAACAAAGACTGAGCGACTGACAGTAGCTCGTGTGACACAGTTCTATCTGTCTCACCTGAAGCACAAGGTCAACACCATTGAGGAGTGGTTATCGCATGTATTGAGCTAATCTGCCATCCATCGATCTGGATGAAGCTTTTTCTCATGTTTAGTAGAGACATGCGAATGAGCAGGTTGTAAGTGTTTAAAATACTCGTCAGAGTAAACAATAATTCTTTTTCAGATAATATTATACTAGATTTAAACAAAAGTGAATAAGAAGAATTAGATGCCGACTATATTGATGGAGGTTTGTTTCGGTAGCCCAAGTTTTAGGCAGGTTGCCCCATATATTATCTACACTGATGGGCCAGGGACAATCTCAGTCTATTTGTAGCCATATTTCAAAACATCCTGTCTACCCTGTTCAATAAAATTAATTTTTCAGCAAGGCATCCAAAGCCATTTTTATTTCATTGGCAACCTTTCAACGTGTTGATATATTGTCGAATGATTGTTAACTTGCTTTATTACCACAAAAATAGTTGATTACGTGGGTAGTCAGTCATTGACAAGAATCTAAGCGAAAATTTAAAACTCATAAGAGTTCGTTTGTAGGGACTTGATTTGTTTTTCAAGTATGATCACGGTTTGCTATCATTTTGGGAACCAACCATTAAAAACTACCAAGGTGTACTGGTCAGCTACTTCATTATTAGTTTTGGCTATTAACATCATCATCATTGTTTCTATTTTTTGTGCATTTCTGACTTTGCTGTCACTGTAAATACCAAAAACACTAAACGGTAATTATTATAACCAGCAGCAGTCAGCTTAAAACTTTAGCTATCCAAACAAACCTCCATCAGTATAACGCATTATGACCTCTTGCAGTATTGTACTTACTTGACTGGCGAATATTCAAAACATTTGCAACCTGCTCGTTCGCATATCTCTCTCTACCAAACACGAGAATAAGCATTATCCAGCTCGATGGATGGCAGATTATCCAAACACATGAGATAACCGTTCCCCAGTGGTGTTGTCCTCGCTTCATCAAAATGTACTTCCGAACTTTTTATATAGTTGGCATTTTCGCAAGATCGGTGGTGTGTTGCTATGGGAAGCCCCCTGGGTCCATTGTTAGCTGACATATATATGTCGCTCGTTGATAACTTAGTGGAGGATATAATTGGAAAGGTTTATTTTGACAAGAGACATAATAGTCATATATGATAAACTGACAGATGCCATAGAAATCCTAAAACAGATCAATAGAGTACAAAACAGTATATCTTTAATATATGTTAAAGAGAATAATGATTGCCTGCCATTTTTAGGTGTACTCATAACCCGCCGAGAAGATGGATCAGTAAAACGATCTGTCTACAGAAAGTCCACATGCATGGGACAGTATCTAAATTATCATAGTTTCTGTTCACTACAGTGTAAAAAGGCGTTGGTTAAGTGTTTGTTCAAACGCATTCACCGTATATGTACTGGCGATACAATTGAAGAAAGACAACACCACACTGAAATATTGCTAGATAGCAATTACCCGCTGAGATTTATTAGGCGTTACGGAATTGTCAACCAAAGAGCTCTACCAATCCAATCAGCTCCCAAAAAGGATTTTTATATATATCCTTGGCGTTCAACGGTTGCTCAGCAAAGTCTGGTCACTAAACAAAGATTCAAGAGGGCAATTAAGGCAATTTATTACGTAGCTAAACTTATCTCCATAGAGATAGCGAGAACTATACTGTCCTGTAAACCCTCACAGTATTCGAATGATAGTGTCACATCCCATTGTGTTTATCAATTTACATGTATGTGTGTACACACGTACATAGAGAGGACCCACCAGTCTCTGCAGGTTAGGGCTACAGAACACATTCCAAAGTGGCTATAACGACAAATAAAATCGTCAGATACAATTGATCCCGGAAATAGATGTCCAACATCATCTATAGAGAAGCACATTATCGAGATGAGTCATAAGGTTGATTTCACCAGTGCCTTTAAGCCCATATATAAAGCAAGGTTGGGTCACATACTTAAATTCGTTGAAGCCTTGGCCATAAAGAGACTTAAACATGTCTTATGTATCCAAAAGTTATTTGTTCTTACTCTAAATTTGCCTTGGTTATCCAATTTAGAAACAAGGACCATTGATATAAGAAAAAAACTTTGCACTGTGGTAGAGTGTAATTCGAAACGTCATCAGTAAACATTACTGTATAACACTGTGAGGCTCCATTATAGATAAGATTTTATTTTGATAAATCACACAGTGTTGTACAGTAATATTAACTGATGACGTTTCGAGCATAAACTATTGCTCATAATCATATCAAGTTACTCACACAACTTTTTTTCCTTCATTTATATACATGTGTGGAATCGATTAGATATTGGAATAAAATTCAATATGAGATAATGTACCTAGTTACAATAACACTGTGAGAATTTATGAAAACAAATTTTACCCATAATGGAATTAGAACCAAGGGTCAATTTACTTCATATTTTTTTCAACCCTTTCTATGCTTTGTTTTTTCTTTCTTACCCACACCTTTGCGTCGTCTTCCTACCCATTATCTGTGACCTTGACCTGTACACAATCTGACCTGTATTGTAATGAATAATTCTTGCCTTCTATAAAACTATGTATGACAAGTACGTGTGTGATCAGAATTTCCGAAGCGTGTTGCGTAAATACATTACACGTTTCAGATAAACTACCTCTTCTTGCCTAAATTTTCATAGTTTCTGTCCACTACAGAATGCGAGATGCTTAGCGAAGTGCTTATTCAAGAGAATATTTGTACAGCTGATGTAATAGAGAAGGAAAATAAAATATTGATGGATACTGTTGTTGAAAACGGATATCCCTTGAAATTCTTAAATCGATGTAGGAGTCAGTTAGTTTTTTAAAACCTACAATATATTCTGTCCCTAAGAAAGATGGTTTCGTTAAATTTGCCATACAATGGGGACAGTGGGTCTTTTTGAGACAAAGACTAAACTCAGTCATTCGTGTAGAACATATTAAGCAGAGCGGTTTAATAATGGGTGTGGGAGGGCATATTCCGAGGTTGTTGGAAAAACACTTGAACTTCAGGAAATCTATAGACGCAGGTGCTAGACTACTAACTTCGTCTGTAGGTTAACATCTGATCGATATGAACCACAGGATTGATGTCAAGACAGCTTTTAAGGTTATTTTTAAGGTGTTTAGTGAAATACTCCGAGGTGATTGCTATTCGTACTCTTGATCCTCTCCCAAACCGGTGTGTTCAGAAACAATTTGTTATTTCTCCTAACCTACCTTGGTAATCTTTATCTGATTGGGTAACCAAGTCTGGTGTTGTTAAGTATTCTTATAATACTTACATCTTTTTTGTCACTGTGTGTTTTAAGTGGCTTTTTATTCATCCTATAGACTGACTTGACAATTTAATGTATGAGGGATCAGATTGTTTTTCGAAATGTATATTCCGCAATTAAAAGACACTTTCGGAGATAATCTCTTTCCTGCAATAACACTATTCAAATTTATAAAGGGGACTTATTGTTTTAAATTAGTAACAAGTATGAAGAAGATTCAGAGCGAAACCACAATGTACATATATTGTGTTGTAATGAACTCACTTTATTTCTTTAAAAGCAATTAAGTTCCCTTTATAAATTTCCACAAATTAATAAGGAAATGTAGTTAGTTTATCTGAAACGTGTAGTGTGTATTTGAGTAATACATTTCTCACATTCTGATCACACACACACCCACATGAGTGCTTATCTCATACACATTTATGTAAAACACAAGAGTTGGCATGACAGTTTACATTACAGGTCAAGGTCACAAATGAGGTGTAGGAAGATGATAAAAGGGTGTCGGCTAAGAAATGGAACGTCGCTTCTAAATTGGACTAACCAAGCACAGTTACAAAATAATAACAAATAATTTTATTCGGTACATAATACAGGTCTAAGCCATTTCATAGGCAAGTAAGGCTTTAAAGAATTTAGGTATGTGAGCCAACCTTGTGATCAAATCACTCACTCACTCACTCACTCACTCACTCACTCACTCACTCACTCACTCACTCACTCACTCACTCACTCACTCAATATCAATTTTAACCTTATCAAATTTCTAACTTTGTGCTGTTGAGTAGAACAACTTATATTTTTTAACTTCTAAAGCCACTCCTGAGTAATTATGTCACCCCCTATTACTCAATAATAGACTACTATTCATTTTTGGTAAATATAAATACCACTCTACAGCCTCTGAAGATGATTTCGTCGATAAAAGAAATTTTCTTCGCTGAATTTGTCTTTTATTACCTTGTGATCAATCTGTATGATGTGCCTCGCTGTATATAGATGATGTTAGGCATCTATTTCCGAGATTAATTGTATCCGGTGGTGATTTTATTTGTTGTTGTCGCAGCCACTCTGGAATGTGTGTCCTGCAGCCGTAACCTACAGAGACCACGCATACACATGAAATAGATATGGGGATAGTGAGCATCCCTGACGGAACCACTGGTTATTATCACTTCAGATGATGTACTGTCGAAAAGTGTATCAAGTAAATAGGGAAAAATGTACACTAGTGTCCCAACATTCATGTAATATGAATGAGTTTATTTTCATGAACAACTTAAATGCAATATATATTCAACGATATGTTCGAATTTTACGGACATTCAGGCTTCATAGTATAACTGTTGTCTAGCAGTACTCCTTACTGGGTTTCCAATGGTTCGTTCTCTAACCGCTGTCAGTCAGCTCATCATAATGAAATCCTGTTACCAATCAAACAAATCCCTGCTACAATGACCAACAGTTGCACAAATGTTCTGCGCTGAAACTCAGTTGTTTGTTTAAGCGAGAATGCTTTTAATATATATACATTTTTTCTGAATTTCTTTCCTCAACATTTAAATAAGAATACAAGCAACATGAGTAGTTGATAATATTCATCTTTGTGTGTATTTCGTTATATCTTTTACAGACAGTTGTACTATTGGGATCATCGTTATTCCTTTTTATTCTCTCATCACTGGATAATTATTATGGATCTTTGATATGTATGGCATTTGCATTAGCTTGCTTAGGTTTTCACTGTAGCGGTGTACTTTTAAATCCCCAGGATATGGCGCCAAATCATGGTGGTCAACTATACGGTAAGTTTCTTTTTTACTTTTCGTAATCAATTTTTGCAGTATACTGCAGAATATTTGTTGTTGGTTAGTTTTTTCCCATAGTTTTCTTGTTACCAATTCCCTCTGGCCGGCCTTTGGTCTTCAACGTGGAGCCAGCGAAGGCAGCTGTTGATAAAGGTAAAGGTCTGCTGTGGTCTGTTGGAAATGCTTTTCGTGACGCGAACGCCAAGTTTCATACCACTTCAGTACAGAAGGAACTGGGTTAAGTGTCTTGGTTGAGAGAGTGAAACGCATATTTTCAGGGGAATGCATTGAGGGAGAAATGTGTCAACTGAAACTTACACTACGAAGAATCTTGATCGAAATCTGTTTCATTAGGAAGGTAGTTTATCAATCCAGTCTATGCTCAGTAGATCCACAACATGACGACTTCTAAAAGAACACAAACCTTTAAAATTCTTTGAAATGAATTCAACGTCTGAAGAGACTTCACCAACTAAGTTCAAAACATCTCCAGAAGAATTATTAGTAACATGGCTTGTAGTGGAAACTGGAGAGATACAGAGAAGGAGAGGGTTCTTTCTTCTTCTCCCCTGAGATTGGCAAAACTGGAGTGAAAATCTCTGAGGTTGGATTGATTATATCTGGTGGCTTTGCGCACAAACAGTGTGTTCACTAGATTTTGATGCATTACTGGAATCCTGAGTTATAACAAGCATCTATTTCGATCGATTCATTCACCGACTAACTGTGTCTGAACATCTTTTTAAGAATCAGAAATTCTTCTGATTGACTCTGTTGAGAATTTACCGAAAATACGTACCTGCTCGCCTAAATCGTGTTGTATTATATATATATATATATATATATATATATTCCTTTACGTTCCGTGTGGAACACTGGGGTTCAAGTTAGAGCTTCGAATTTTCGGTAGCAGGGGTCTTTTATTATACTGTGTGAGGATGCCAGCCTCATGTCGAACCTTCCCTCTTTACCGGCTTAACGAGGTCTAGTAGTGCGTCGGCTGGAGATCGAACCTCCCAGACCACGTGTGGCATGGTTGGTGGGTGTTCTGCTGTAGGATCACTGACGAACAACCGCTGCCTGTGAAGACGAACGAACTGTCGATATTCGCGTAGTGGGCAATGGTTGAACGGTCTACTAGCTCGCTTTCCTTGTAACAGTAAGGTCCTGGATTCAAACCCCGGTGGGGCCCGAACTAAGACAAAACAAATATCCAGTTCTTTATTACATATATATGTATATATATATCGATTCCTTTTTTATCTTCTCTAAACAGGAATAATGGCCACTGTGGGTACTTTTCCAGGATTCGCTGGCGTCTATATGGTCGGCTATCTACTGGAGACCACAAATCAATGGTCTGTGATATTTATCCTCACTGGTATGATCAGTATAGTTGGCTGGATCGGATATATTTTGTACGGATCATCAGAGGTGATTTTATAAGAATTATTATTATTACTATCAGTCACTGACATTCTTTCTCCCTTTTGCTTGCTATGCACTACTCATGTACACACTACCACTGAAACTGTATTTTCTTGTTCAATTATATATATTCAAATGTTATTTTGTTATAAAGCATAGAAGTATTAGCAAAAAATGAACTGCAGCATTGCATTGTGTGATAACAGATTTCTTAACGTTCTAAGTTAAATTGTGTTCTCCTTATTTTTTGCTCATGATGCGTTCGCCTTTCACACAGTCCTTACAAAAACCCTAAATACACTTTTTCATGTTTGAAGATTGTTTTTCTAATTTAAGCTGTACATTGTTTGTTCATTCTTATGAGTTATTACTACTATTACTGTTACTATTATTAATTATTATTAAATTTTTGGTTCTCATATCTACTAAATGCCTTTTTTGATTAACTAGTCTAGTTATTGTTTATTTTATTTTCTTATTTGTAAATGTTTATTAACTATTTTTTTCTTCTGTTCGTTTGTTTGTTTGTTTATTTGAATACAGCGTTTTCTGTTTCTTTTCTATTCAACTGTAAATATATAGAGTGTTCGTGAAGTAAACACTCACCCGACAGATGCAATTTAAAGAAAAATCATACATAATTTACCAAATACGCCATGTAATGATTCTCGTATTGAGGTCAATTACATGGGTGAGTCGAACTAGAAGTAGATTGGGGTCACGAAGATTATTGGAACATAGAAATTTAGCAAGACCTAGAATGATTAAGCCATGCTAAGTAAGTTGAATAATCTAGAAAAGCAAAGCTCAGCCATTGTATTGCGTTGCATTGTATTCACTTGAACGTAATCACAAAATAGGTTGGGAGGGACAGAGTGAGAGTATTAAGAAGTAATACATTTAGGTGGAGACAGTGGGAAGGAGGAGAGAGAGGTTAGTCACTGAATCTTTGTTAATCGATTCGACGCTGCGCACGTGCAATGGAAATGACACAACGCCTACCTACCGGAGATATAGAAAGTGTCAACCAACAGTGAGAGAGAGAAAGAGAGACTATATATATATATTATATATATATATATATATATATATATATATATATATATATATATATATAAGACAAACTGTGAAACCGTGTGGGTAAATCGATATGATTATGAGCAGCGATAATGTATGGTCGAAACCTTGTCATACAGTCAATAAAACTGAGTCATCTTCACTGCGATTTTTGGAAAAAAATTTTCTAATATGGATATACATCCTACCACCAGTGGCCTAGGTATGCACGTACATTGTTGTCTGTTTGTTTCAATAAAGCGTTTTCTATTTGTATTCTATTCTATGTAGCGTTTTCATGAAGTAAATTCTGTATTTTTTATTGGGAAAAAACGCATCATATTTATACGTTTTTAACCACATTAAAAGTCAGACAGGTTAGCAGACAACAACAAACCGCTCTGATTGGTTTTCAACTTGCCGAAAGTTAGGCCTTGAGATGAAAAGTTGCCCAATGAGATCATTATTATTTCCTGACCACAAAGTAAACTAAGCCCGGTTTGTGAAAGTCGAGTACACGTATACCAATAAATATGGCTATAGAGGCAGTCAGAAATGTACTCATTTCTGACCGAGAATTCGAACTTGGGACGAAAGTGCCACTTGAGGACATAATGTTGCAAGTACAACTATGCCTAACTTCACAGTATTTAAATTCCATGGAAAGATATACAAACAAACTGAAGGAGTTGCCATGGGGTCGCCGGTTGTAGCAGATATATTCATGGATAGGTGGGAAAACATAGCAACTGAAACGTTCACCCCTACCCCGGAAGTATGGTATAGGTACATAGATGACACATTCACCGTACTTAGAACACAAGATATAGATGGATTTTTCGAACACATGAACTCAAAGGTGGAGGCAATTCAATTCACTTATGAATTGGAAAGTTAGGAAGGGGAACTGCCAATGTTAGATTGCAGTGTAAAAAGGAAAGAGGATGCGAAGGTAAACACTAGTGTTTACAGGAAACCCACACATTCAAACAGATATTTGGACTTCCGATCATACCATCCTATGTCAGTAAAATTAGGATTGGTGAAATATTTAAGTAATAGGGCACAAAAACTAAGAAGTGCGAAGGAAAGTCTAAGACAGGAAGTAAGGTATATAAGGGAAGCTTTGAAACTTAATAATTACCCTGATAAATTAGTCAGAAAGTATGGAGGGAAATGCAAAAATAAAATAAATAATGATAGTAGTGATGATAATAATAATGGTAATATTAATGACGACATGCATATCAAACATGCGCATGGCAACACCAACAATAAGGAATCTAAATCATCAGTAGTAATTCCATACAAAGAGGGGACCTCGGAAACCTTACGCAGAATTCTTAACAAGGCAGGAATAAAAATGGCATTCAAACCCACAAACTCAATTAAAAACAACTTTTCGGTTAAAGGATACTGTGTAGCCTTCTAAAAAAACAATTTAGTTTATTTAATAGCTTGCCTGGAATGATTGTCAGGTCAAATACATACGTCAAAGTAGTTAAACAGGTGCAGTCAGACTAGCCGGACATAAAAATCTAAATTAGTTGACCCGAATAAGATAAGAAATCTAGAGAATAGTTCAGCTATAGCACTACATTGAGTTACACACAATCATACAATAAGATGGGATAGGATGATGTCACAGGGTATAGGGAGAGATTGATTGCACAAGCTTTGTTTATCTACTGCAAATACGTGTAATAGGAATGATTCAACACCTATCCCAGATATCTGGAAAATTCTACTACCCCTATGACAAATACGAGAGAACAAAGAAAACTATAAAACCCAAGTTGCGAAGTTGTGTGATTTTAATTGATATGACTATGAACAATAAATTTTGTTGGAAACGTCATCCAGTAAATAATACTGTTTCACTGTGTTATACATCTAATAAACAAACTAATATGGCAAGACAAATGAAAATTCTAAAATACATTGGCAAGCAATTGAAGCAGAACAGGCTGGTCTCAGGTAAAAGAGACCTCGGGTCGTTGTATCAGATAACGAGGTCTCTATCCGGGAAGACATTAACCCAGATGACGAAAACAATAAAAGATGTTCATGGGAACCTGATTACCTAGGAGGAGAAACAAATCAAACAATGGGCTGATCATTTCAAAGGACTCTTGAGTCGACCATGACCTGCAACTCGCCCAGAAATACGCTACCACCAGCAGCACGCACAGAATATAGTATGTAGTAGTGATAATATTAATGACGACATGCAAGTCAAACATGCGCAAGACAACACCAACAATAAGGAATCTAAATCATCAGTATTAATTCCATACACAGAAGGAACCTCGAAAACTAAGTCCAGGTTTGAGAAAATAAACACATTTCTACCTCGTCTACAATCGGTTTAAAATGGTGATTTCGATCTCCGCTCCTTACTATCATTCTGCATTTATATACTACTGGTAAATCTTGGCAGTAGCGCACGTCACACTATCATTATTTTTACAGAATAGTGCATGAATTTTTTAGTTTGCAGTATGACAAGTATCTCCCCCAAAGCATAATAATTAATTCACTCGAAAACCAAATATACTAACGTTATTGTCATTATTATTAAAGTGAATACGAAAACACTATCGTTAATATAAATTACATTTAGCACAGTACGTCAATGCATGAGCACTATTCCTGAAATGTGACAGTTCTAGCTACAGACCACGAAATCATGCGAGAACAAATGACAAGTCTGGACTATTTTCTTGAATGAAAACCAAATTTGATTTAAGTTACTAATATGGAAGAGAAAGAGAATTTTTGAAGAAGAAGTTGATTGATAACAACAGCACACAATGACCTGAAGTCTAGATGACCTTACTTAAACGGCTTACCGAAGGTGCATAAGCCCATTTTTCCGATGAGACCAATGCTACCCATGGTAAATTCTCCACATCACAAAGTAACTCGACGGCCAGCAGAACCGTTGGAGCCAATCCATGCCAAGTTAGCCGTCTACAGCTTGAAATACACTTCCCATTTCGCTAGAGAATTATTTCAGGTAAATTGATGGTGTTATTTGACGTATCTTCACTGTTTACAAAGATCCCTCTGAGAAAACAATACAAATTATATCTGAACATGCCGATCTCATTACTCTACCGAAGAATGAATTCAAGCATCTGCTACTAATATGTGGCGAGGACATACAGTTTCAGTTCAACAGTGTTCTGTAGTACCAAATTGATTGAGTCGCTATGGGAATTCCACCGGGTCCAATTCTGGCAGATAATTTTATGGGTAACTTGGAGTAAACAAGAATGAAGTCTGCAGTCTTTCAGACAGAATTCTACACCAGATATCTCGATGACATGTTCGTTAATTGTGATTGTTTTAATGACGCGACTAAAATATTCAACCTCCTGAATAGTGGTCATTCTAATGTAAAGTTTACAATGGGGCGTGAAAATGAGGACAAGTTTCACTTTCTTGACCTTGGTATCCAACGTGATAGAGATGGTAAAATCGTGACGTACATCTACAGAAAGAAGACCTGGACGACAATCTATCTCATTTTCAAAAGCTTCTGCCGTGCAAGTTACAAAAAGAGACTGATGGGAAGACTGTTTGGTCGTGTAAGGACGCTTTGCTCAGAAGAACTATCCACTGTGGAAAAATGCCTGCTTCGTAATGGTCTCCCAAGGAAATTCATCGACATTTCAACGTGAACACTTATTGCCTTTCCGTAACATAAATTGATTTGAGGTGACGTAAAAGGATACTAGTATATATATGTCACGCATCAACTGGAATGATATTAGATGGAATAACATTCAACCATAGTACCCTAGTGGTACTCAGTACAAGAACACCGATAATTCTGCATCACTGAGACAAATTTTCTCATGCCTACATTGCAAAACGCTTGGGAAGAAGGGGTCGTATGTACTGATTCGAAGAAAGGCTAACACGTCAAACTACCAAAGAAGGACCACTTCGGCCTGTGCAACAACATGCTCCGAATCATACTGTTATCCTCACCAAGTGAAATATTACGTCGCCTCATCCTGGAGAGAATAAACGACGTACTGGATGCAGATCTCCAACCCATTAAACAAACAAGACGAATTTTCCAAAGCCAAATTGTGTTTTTTTTTTTCACGTATTTGACAAATCGCTGTTTTTGTTGTGTTATTCACTTCAAGAACATTTTTTTAAACTTTAACTTGACTTTTGTCTGTTAAGTTTTGATTTTAACCACTTATGTAGTCTATATTGGGTAAATTGTCTTGGCTGTTTCCAGTAGAAGTTCATTATGTCAAAAGTACCACATAAATGTAATAGGGCGGAGTGTTACTTTTTGATAGATGATGGAATACAGTGTAATAACTGTAAAAAGTGGTATCATAAGATGTGTACTGGATTACGTCCAGCTCCATACAATCCCACTGGATGTGCAGAATGTGTTGCTCCCCAAAGATGACTTTAATAAGGGAGGCTCACGAACTACTGTCTAAAGCCATGGAACTTCCTGATGATAGCGTGGCTAGTAAGAGTGACACGGACTGCCCGTCTG